ACATACTAACCATGAAAAAAATAAACTTCTTAATTCAAACATGCTATTATTCTCCAAAGTTACACAATTGCCCCAATATAGTTTCTCAATTTACAATTTTCTTTACTCCCTCAACTTTCGATTTTCACTTAATCAAGCCATATTGATTAAACACCAAAGCCCATTCATTTTTATTTAAGAAATATGAGTATTTTATTTACACTATGGGCATTCCAAAAATTTTATAAAATTATCAAAACAGCACACTTCCAAATTAATTACACAATTAGATCCAATTTTGCATAATTAGATACCTTGTCTCGATTAAGAAATTATCTCTAAAAAAACTTAACCACTTATCATAATAAGGTTCCTCAAGCTGTGAATAGCCCCCAAAATTTCCATTTTTTACAAATTAGTCCCTTAGCTTGGTGAAATTACAAATTTTCCCCTAAAACTTCAAAACTGGTTTTATGAAGCGGTTTGATTTTCTTTAATTAATGTAACTTAATAATTCATTAATTAATGCTTAAAATCATAAACCCATACGGTTAAAAGAGTCCTCTCGTTTCTGAAATTTACAAAATTGCCCATAGACATGTCAAAATCTACTAAAAGGCCTCTTTTTGGCCTAGTTTTACCATTCTCTCATTTTTTTTTTCCATCTGAGGTACAACAAAACCATTTGGGTATTCTTTGAAACACCTTCTAGGCATGTATTAAAGATTTCAATATAGGCAGGAAATCACCATAAATCTATTTGTCAATCTTGGAACCTACTTGCACTTAAGATAAAAAAAATTAAACTAACAAATATCAACCAACCAAAGTCAAGAGTACTAAAAGATCAATCTAACTTAACCCTAGAGTTTTCACTTAGCTCGAGTGAAATCTTCAACAAACAAAGCCTTTAATCACCTCAAAATCAAGATAAACACTAAAAAGTTAGTTTGGCAAAAAGAAAGGGACGTCTTTAAATATACCTTGTATGACACTAGATTGAGAGTAAGAGTTTGAACTTTGATTGAGTTGAAGAAGATTGGAATGGGAAAATTGGAACTTGAAGATGTTAGGAAGACGAAGTTGCACATTTTAAAAGAGGAAAGGAAATGTGTACTTCTATCTCTTGTTTTCCTCCTATATTCTTTATTGAAGAGTGGTTTCATGTCACATTTATTAGCTTGGATTATAAATAATGATATCAATTAATTAGAGTTAATTATAGATACAAAGTTACTAGGGTTTAAAACAATATGTCATGCATGAGGTCACCTTGAGCTAGGTTAAGTGACTTCAAATAAGAGCATGTGGACAATAACTAAGTGAGAATTAAGACGTGTTCAAGCTTAATGGGTGACGAATGGCATGGTTTGGGTGAAAAGATGGATATATTAGGTTATTTTAAATAGATATTGTACACCGCGGTAAATAAGCAGGGAAATCAATATTCGTTAGAAACGCCGGTAAATTAGAAAATTATTTATGAAACCACTAAATTTATTAACAAATGGTATAGAATAATAGGGACACCTTAATGTTTGAAAATGTTTGAAAATCATTTGATATATATTCTGGAGTGTATTGTTCCTGCTGATAATTACTATACTAATTTTATTTCCTTCAATAACTCTCACTATCTTAATACCTTAAATATTATCAACTACGAAGAAAATTTCGAATATCACAAAAACTCCTCGTTGTCGTTGTCAACAACACGAGATCGAGAAGAAGGGCGTTTGAATCTGGAGGCCCATTCTCTAGATCTGGCCAACGTAATCAGATCTTGTGAGGTACATTAATTAAATTTTTTTATCCTTTTTTAATTCACATGCCTTTTTCAAATCTTTGAAGCATGCCAATCATTAACATTACGGAGTAAACCGTTATGATGATTGGAGGTGTTGATCCCAACGATGAGGCAGTACTCAATCAGTGTTTCCATGCAATGCAAGCAATCGTCCTTTATTGTTTTTATGGTTTTGCCTTTCTCTCTCCATAACTTTGAAGGACCATTCACATGAACTGGGTGCAATTATTCTTTCACGAATTGCCAAGAAGTTTACGTTTTAATAACTCGAATCCCTAAAGTTCAGATCATGCCAAGGGTCCCCCACACCTCAATCTAAAAAGACAACAAAAGAAACAAAAGGGTGTTGTAAATTATTGCTCTCACGCCACCAGTCAAATGTATTTAATTGGGTTGGTGCTAAGGGTGAGTATGGTCGGGGGGAGCGTTCCCACTCTAGAATTGAGAACCGTCCATTAAAGATCAGTTCCGAAAAATTAGAACCGAGAACCGCGTGTTGATTCCATGGGCCCACTCCGGAACCGGACCGCCGGTCCGGTTCCCGGGTGGGTCCATGGAACTAGTTCCACTAGTCAAGGACAAAGACGAAAAGGCAAAGACGAAGACGGAGACGGAGACAGAGATGAAGAGTCGGAGACGGTGAGGTGAGCATCGACCGAGAAGAGTGAGAAAGTGTGAGTGAGTGTGAGACGAAAGCGAAAGAAGGTATTTCTCGGCTCAATATGAAGTTGTGAGCGCCGAGCGAGTTAGATTTAATTTAGGGAGTTAAGATTTTTCTTTTTTTAAAAAATATTAAAAAGATATATTATATTTATTATTATATTACTGGTCCGGTCCAGGTAGACGGGCCTGAAACTAGATCGGTACCCAGCGGTTCCCAAAAATTGGAATCGGGAACCGGACCGGTTCCCTTAGGAATTACCAGTTCCGATCCGATTTCGGGCGGTCCAAGTAGTTCTTAATTCTTTTGCACATCCCTAGTTGGTGCACAAAAAATGTCAAAATATTTAATCATCAAATCACACTTTCTCTTAACATGTTATAATTTATGGTGGTTCCACCAAATCTTACATGATATAAGAGCAGGAATTCCCGAGTTCACATCTTTCTAAACCTCTTATTTGTCTCCGTATTATAGTTTCCACTTATAGTATTAGACGAACGGCCAATTTAAGCGTTTAAGGGAGGTGTCAGCATATTGAAATAATTAATCACGTTTTTATTTAACAGCTTAAATTTTTAAAATACATGATAGACAGTGGTTTCACAAGGCCTCGATGGAAACTACAAAGGTAGTCATTGATTGATTAACTGTTCCCCATACATTTTCTGACTGAATAAACCAAAGCAAAGAAAAAGAAATGGTCCCCTCTTTCTTGTCTTTTTTCTTGTCTTCTCTTCTCACTTTCTGTTTCGTTAAAAGAAGCAATGCAGTCTTAAGCCAAAAAAGAAACAAAAGCAGTCTGCCCACGATATAGGGTGCGGGAGGATTCGGAAGCAAAATCTGTGAGTACACGTGTCGACAACCCACCTCCTCCCTACTTTCGAATCTGGTTAGATAAGTTTTGGAGTTTGCATCGACTGGCTTTTGAAGTTTGGTGCCATTATCTTGGGTTTAATTAGAATAAAGCTATCCGAGTTCTAATCCAGTAGCCATGACCATATAAGAAATCGTTGATCAAGCTTATTTCAAACGGAGTTAGTTTTTAAGCAACAAGATTTAACTAGATATGTCAATACGGACCAAAAAATGTTAACGTCGTTCACCTCCCTTGGCCCCCTCCCGCCCTCTCTCTTTCCCTCTAACCAAAACACCGTTTTTGCAACTTAAACTTTAAGTTCAGGTCTTTCACCTGTGAATCGTCCTTTCAACAAAAACAAAATGGCTCGTGTTATCGAGGATTTCTTCATTTCCCCATGATTTCTAGATTCAAGCTATGTAGATTCAAGCTATGTGTCTAGATAATTGTTACTCACATAAACAAAGTCCTTAACAAAATAAAAGGATTCAAGGGTAGGCAAGAGATGACATGGCAAATTAGCTCTTGCACTAAGGAGATAGTGAGAAGAGATATATTTTTCATTTTAGAGAACCGTTATCGGAGATAATATTGTCCTTGATAACGAAAGGAAGTATCCTCATAAATACATTTAGGATGAATATTATGCTCGCTCGGATTATCAAGGGATGGGGAGAAAATCGAGGGGTTGTGCTTGCTGCTACTGCTGCAGCGGTGCCAAGCTGGTGAGGACGTTACCAGGAGAATTATGGCGACTACCAAGCACCAAAAAGAGAGGGAGACGATGGTCATAAGTAGTGTTGGAACTTTTTTGAGAGTGTATATCTTAAGATAGAGTTATATACGAACTACATTACAAATGCAACGACCAATCATAAGCCAATTCATGCGGAGTATCCGAACACCTTAGTTATTGTATTTTCATCCCTTTGTTTTTTCTACATGTGCACACATTTGATCATTCACCCATTTACTCACAACCTCGATTCTTGATATAAGGATGTCAAGCTCATCCTTTGGGGCTTTCTATCACGAGAAAACAACATAAATGGTCCATTAACTTTTGATTTGTTTAATGTGTCTTTTAATATTTGGTCTAACGTTAATCTAGTCCCGAAACTTTTAAACACTTTCATATATTCTAAGAATTACATTAAACATTTACTAATCGTTTAAAGACCACATTAAACAAATGAAACGTCTAGGAACGAGAACATCGCATATTAGATTATAGGTTTAGGTATAATATTGTATATTGGACTAAAATTCAGTGACCACATTGTACAAATTTAAAGTTCAAGCATGATATTACACATTGAATCGAGATTTATAGAACAGTCGTGCTATTTTTCCTTCCCACTTTTTTATGTTGCTACCTAACTAAAGCATTAATGTGGGAAGTCAACCTACGGAAAATGACTTTGTATTCATTTTACTTTATTAATGGGTTGTCCTTATTCGTCCCTAATCTATCATTATTTCTCACATTTCATCGGAAAAGAAGAAAAACTCTCTCTCTCTCTTGACGCCCCTCTTCAAGCAGCTCCACAGCCACTCACGAGGTCTCCCCAATCAATGCCCGCCCAACCAACACAGGACTCGGCCAGTCCCACCCTGACTTTGCCAGGTCCCCCCTTCTTCTCCCTCTCTCTCCCTCTCTGTACTGCCTTTTACCACTTCACGATCACTTTCCCCAAGCATTTTGGATGGGAGTGGAGGGAACAGTGACTCCTTTCCCCTTTAACGCCCCTCTGTCCTCACTTCAAGTAGACATCTCCCCTCTTTGGCATGCACTTCCATTTGTTGCATGGTGTCTCCCCCAATTATTGCCTCCCCCTCCCTCCCTTCTTTCCCCAAATTAGGAGACACACACCCACTTGCAGTAGTGAGAGAGAGGCCTTTGAGTACAGTTGCGACTGACTGTACTTGAAGCAAGGTTCCCAAGGAGCAAAGCATGGAAAATGGCGGGAACTACCCCTATCACCCCACGTACTCGACCGTCCCCCAAGCGCTGAACGGTCACTTCCCCGTCCACCTCCCCTGGGACACCGCTGACCTCGGCTCCGCCGCGCCAGCAGCCGCCGCCACTCGCCTCGGCTCGACTGCGGCCCACGCGCGGTCCGTCGGCCACCGCCCTCTGCACTACGCCCGGGGTGGAGGAGGGGAGCTAGGCGCGCGGGCCGACCCGCACCTCACGTGCCTGCAGCTGGGGAAGAGGCGCTACTTCGAGAGCGACCGAGCGGCGGGGGACCGGAGGTGCAAGACCCACCACCGGGGAGCGACGGCGGTGCCCAGGTGCCAAGTGGAGGGGTGCCACGTGGCGCTGGGGGACGCCAAGGAGTACTACAGGAGGCACAAGGTGTGCGAGTCGCACTCGAAAGCTCCCAGGGTGGTGGTGCTCGGCCTGGAGCAGCGCTTCTGTCAACAGTGCAGTCGGTACAAACCTAACACCTCTCTCTCTCTCTCTCTCTCTCTCTCTCTCTCTCTCTCTCTCTCTCTCTCTGCCTTTTGTTTTTCGAAAATCGGTGTTTTTCGACATTTAAGTTCATTGGGCATTCGGGGAATGTATCTGAACATTTGATTGTTCTGGATTCTGAATCATTGATGGTCTAAAATGCAATCAATATGAAGATAGAGGTAAGCCAAGTAGTAGGGGTGATTGATGGTGGATGGTGTGGGACAGGTTCCACCAAGTGTCGGAGTTTGACGACGCGAAGAGGAGCTGCCGGAGGAGATTGGCTGGGCACAACGAGCGTCGGAGAAAGAGCTCTCACGATTCTGTTCCCAGCAACTCTTCTCAGGGTATCTATATGAATCTCATGTTCTCCATCTATTTAAATTAGGCACCAGATTTACGTGGTTAAGTCGAGTCGAGGTAACCTAGTGCCTGCCAAATGAAACATTTCTTATATATAGACAAGAGCTAGATCCAAAGCAAGACACCTACTCAAACTAAATAACCACTCAAATAGAAAACTCACTTAAATTAGGAAAATTTCCTTTTCGGACTCAAACTCGAGATATATTTTCAGCAATTATTCCCATCTTGAATGTCATTGCATTGGCAGGCAGAGTTTGGTTGACATGAATGAATGTGCTTTAGACTACCGTGGTTTGGTGATTTACTATTATATGATTTGAGCGTAGTTGATCATCATTGCCTTTCGAATGAAGCATTCATCTGTTTACCAAATTAAGCGCTATGTGTGTCGCCGTACATTTTCCACATTGACCTATTGATCCACAATGTGTGAGAATTTGGTATGAAAATTACTTCGGTTGCTCAGCTTCGATTCTTCTCAATTCCAACCCTTGTTTTTAGCTCTCAATTTTTCCTTTACATCTCTGATTATGCTAGTTCTACTTTTGCATTCGGCTCGTATGCGAAGTTGACTCCGGAAATTCAATCCAATCTTTTACCCTTTGGCAATAAATGGAATTCCAAGAGAACCCAGCCGTTAGAGTGTGATCCACAGTATTCGCTTGCCTAGGAACCCATGCCAATCTCCAGTGTTCCTGGATCTGCAAAAGGGCCTTCAGATCAGAGACATAGCTCCTAATATACCAACTCTTTTCGTCAACCAGATTTCTTGTCTTGAGGTACACCTCATTGCAATCACCACCAAGATTACTCCAGTAATACTCATGGCAAGTCCGGCCGCATCTGTTCTGCCATCACTAGTGAATGACATGACATTGTCTCTGTCCAGGCGTCAACTACGCTATCTTAAATTATTCCTCTCCACTACGCTGATCCATCCCAACCCATGCCTTCCACACCGCATCATAGTTCAAACTCCGTGTATTCCCTTGGACGTGGAGGCGGCCTCCGAGTCTCTTCAGGTTTGCTAACATGAATCTGCTGTGGACTGTCTTGAAGCTCCATTGACTCTGCATGATTCTTGCGAAAGCTACTTAATATTACTAGAGGATCAGCATTCACATTATTGTGGACCTTGTTGTTCCTGGCCTTCTAACATACATATGGATGAGGACAAAGTAACAAAGAAAATCATAAACTCCCATTTTGGTATGGCGTCTAAGAGATATCTGCTATAGAAGTGCACTCAATGCCTGATGCAACGCCAAATGCCCTAGGGAATGTACTGATTGATGCTTTGAAGAAATTGTGAGGTAGTAAGAGAGTATTATTCTATATACGGGCTTTATCTCCGTAATCAAGCAAATTAAAGATTGGTATTTGCAGAGGAGGAATACAGGATAAAAGAATGTCATTTTGATGTAAAGAGAAGTCAGTCCAATCTCCTCTGCCTTGTCATGCGAAAATTCTTGCTAATTTGAAGTACTGACTGTGGTAAATTGTTTAGTGGAAAGTATAGTGAATTTATCAAGTGGGAAGTAGTCTGCAAATAGGATACCGCCGACAAATTTTATCGTATGTTGTAGCCTTGTAGTCAATCTAGTGAGACTAGCCTTGAATGGCATCTGAGAGTTAGGAACACTGCTATGTCGAGATTAAACTGGTCATGATGTTACATTGGTGATTTGATCTTGCATTTAATAAATTTAGACTGGTCATGATGCTCAAAATCTAGATTGGTCATTATGTTGAGTGTGGTAATCCGATCTTGCATTGCATAACCTGTTCTTATGCTCTTTTAACTCCTCGGATTGCTTTCCCTCAGAGCAGAGTTGATAGACTGAGATTAGGTACAGCGAGTTCACATCTTTATTTCCTGCTTTCGAAACAGGATGTGCTCTCTCTCTTCTGTCATCGAGAATGGATACTTGGGTCTCTCCATCCGAGCTCTCCTCGAGATCCAGCGCTGCACTACATGAGCTCATCGCTGAACACCGGGCAACCATCTTGGCGAGGCAGCTCATCTTGGATCGGGACTGGCACTTGCACTATGCTGGAGGGGACCTTGGTGAGGCTCAGAACGGCTCCGCTTCACTTTTCCCCCACGAGCACCAAGTGTTGCCTGAACCACACTGCTGGGACAGGTTCCAGGAGGAACCAGGCACGCAGGTCACTCTAGATCTCATGCAGGCGCCGAGCTCTGCATTCGGTTTGTTGTCCATGAGGGAAAAGGCTAAGGATGAGGAAGAGTGTTCAGACATATGGAACTCTTTCGCGAGTACCCATGTTGATTAAATTCGACTTCCCTCTCACGTCCGTTTCCCATCGCTGCAAGGCCAAGGATTGTACCAAACGAGCAAGGACCTGTGTTTAAGCTGTATAGAATTTTGTATTTCCTACTTTAGTTTGTGTGTCCTGTTCCATGGAATTGATGCTTTCCAACTCAATCCACCTATTATATTGTTCTTAGAGCAATGAAGTTATATTTCTATATTGTAGCTTGCACTGCAATACCTGTAGCCTTGTGCTGAAGTTTTCATCTCAGGGACTGAATTTTTCAGTTCATTCCCCAATGTGGACTTTCATGCATTTTTTATTCGCTCAACTTCCAATCGCAGTTGTAATAACTTTACAAAGAAGCTTTGAGCCAACTCGTAATAATCTCTCTTAAAACAGTTGGAATCCAAACTCTCACATGTTCGTCCTGACATTAAAATTACACGACAATTGACAGAGTTGACAATGTTACCCACTTAGGTCTAAGTTTACTCAACTATCACCCTAGCCGTCAGTCTTTGAATTCGTTATCCAGGTAATAGCCTAACCAGTTCGTACGGTTTATCTCAACGTGTACAGAAGGCTTTCAACCACACAGAATTACCTCAAGGCTCGGATGAACGAAGAAGCATAACTGATGAAAGCGGAATTTGCTTCGCACCAGAAATGCAGTGATTCACAACAATTCTCGAGGAATTTTTTTTTTTGGGTCAGACTCTCAAGGAATTTACAAGTAGTAACTTTTTAATATGTCGTCTACCCTAGAAACTACTGGTCTAGCCCTCATAATGAAAGAGATTAGCACACTTTTCAATAGCCATAGGTTTCCAAGACTCCGTACCAAAACAGGAAGCAGCTAAGGCAGAAGGGTTCCAATGTCAACCATCCATATCACTACCTACCTTTTGAGACATCTTTAGAACAATAGCTTCATCTCCTGTACTTCAAGTTTAAAACTCTTGAATTTTCTTTTTCATGCTTCCTCCGCGCTGTCTCCACCGACTCATCATTTGTAAGCAGACATACTACAGCAGAAAAACATCTTCAGGAAATGCATCCCTCGCTTCCATGTGTATGAACAGAGTCTTCCATCAAAAGCTTTTTTGCTGTTACACTAGGCTTTTCACTGAGAGAATGATTAAGAATGTTCTGCTACCTGAATGGAGAAAAGTAATTAGTAAGCTTTTAAACCTTGTGTCGCATCCACAGATTGCAACAAATTGTGCCTTATGGATTTTGTGGCAACAACCACTGTCAGGATCCTATTGTCAAAGAGATGCATAGTGATTTGAAGATGCATAAGCATGCACATGACTTTTATTAATCGAAAACATAATGCAAGGATCAGGACAGACACTCGAGACGAGATCAAGTTGCAATGCCACATCAGTACATTTACAAATGTAATTTTCACACAGCACCGAGTAGAAACATTATAGACCATATCCTTTTGATAGAAGAGCAAACTAAGAAAAATTCCAAGCAGGGATTTGCAGTTTCAACAGAATCGAAGTGTATGTTCGCAATTGCAATAAACAGAAAGCAAAATCTAGAATTTGGAAAAGGATTCTACATCGCTTCGATAATAAGCAGACTCCCTCTGGAAAATGCACATTACAAGATTTTAGGTGATCCAGCCAACTGCTAACAAATATTCAAGACACAACTCGAGCAAAATGAACAACCAAAGAAAAGGCCAAATGTTATATACAGATCCTAAATTCTTTATCAAATAGATCAGATGGTCCGAATAGAGAGGTGAACTAAACCAAATGGTAACTCTAAGGTGAAGGCAGATCCAAAGTCAAGAAATTACTTTTTGTTTGTCTGTTAAGGTCACCAGAGATCGAAGAACACCAGGACTGATCTTATCAGCAAGTGCACCTTTATTTGAAATGGCAATTGACTTATCCTTTACATAGCTCTGCAATCTCTTTACCTCAAAATCCAGCTGGGATTGTTCTGCATCACGAGAAAGGAAGCTGGAATCATGGTTTGTCCAATCAGAAACTTACCATTACAATAAAAAGAGAGCACAAAAAAGAAAATACTTTCAACATTTTGAGTATCTTATGAGAACTTTACTCAACTACCAGCACTAATCTTATTTAACCAAAATCTACACCACGTGCCTGGATGTATAACACTATTAAAGTTATTAAACTCCTAAATATGAAAATCATCATTACCTATTTAAAAAGCTCATCCAACAACAAAGAGGGATTATCAATGGGAAAGAGGAATTGGCATGGTCTGTTTTTTCCATCTAGTAAAAGTACGACATTAAATCTGGACAAGCTTTGTTACCATTGGCAAGATGGTTAATTTTTAATATATAGATGTGATTTATCTCAATAAATAAGATAGCCAGGTTGAATGCATCAAAGAACTTGATTTTCCTACAACTAATGTACTCTATAAGTGCTGTTGAGCAAAACACCCCTCCAAAGAGAACTCACAGCAGTAAAAATCGTCGCACAGGAAACACCAGAAATGCCACTATAAAAGTCATTCCACTTCACATATCCCTAGTGTTACATCAATGACAATTTGACCAATCCAAACCAATAGAGTCCACCTCCATGTCTTCTAAAGTTTTTTGACTTGTAAGGATATGAAGGTTCTACAACTTGATAAGATTTTCAAGTTCCACACCACATCAATAGTAGATTAACAAATATAATAGTTATAAGATTGCAGTCATTCCCTTGATTCACATGAATGAAAGTGGCCTGGTCAAATATGGTGGATCTACGCTGTATCATAAAATCAGCGAGCTGCCCTTAACTAATGCCAACTTAAAAAATAATTTTTACTCGAAACAAACCAACATTAATGTGACTACTGACTACGAAAGTTATTTCCAGCTATTCTACATGTATAATGTTCTCAAAAAATTAACAAGATATACTTAAATCGAACATCACAGTTTCATTGATTAGGACAAATAAGTGCAAATGAAGACTAATTACTAACAAGGCCTCTAGTTACCGCAATATCAGAGTCAATAACTAGGTCAGGTGCCACACTAAGTGTTTACTTGAGAAGAAATGTGCATCTTCTATAATTCAAGACTTTTTTTGATAGCCTAGAAATAGGCTTCATAAATTACTTAACATGCAATATAAACAGAAAGCAATCCTCTTTCTTTATGTTGGCTAATCTGGAAACAGAGAAATAAACAAGTATTTAGGGCAGGGACGTTTCACAGAGGAAACAGTCTACGAATGACGTTCCAATTTGCTATACATCTTCATAGATACAATAGATACTGTGTCATGTATTAGCTCCTTTCGTTATGAGCTCATCTATACGCTTAGGCACCACGTCTGGTCCCATTAATGAAATTTATTTACATCTCACATAAAAATATGTAAACATGCAGACTCCCAATCAAAAGGCTTCTGACTGCATCTACAACCATGGCATCCACTTTCTAAACCAAAATGCAGTTGGTGTCCATAAGTTTCTCTGAGGAATACATAAGACCCAACCTTCAAGCTTCTCTTTCTCTTTCAGTTTTTTCTTCCAATCTTCCATACAAAACACAGAACCCTTCTTATCCTTGATGGGAGCAAGCCATCCTAGATAAAAACTGCTACCGATTGTAATCCTCTCTCTACATAACCATATATTCATAGAAGGACCTTCATCTTGGCCAACAATCCTCTCGAAGTTCAAACTACGTACACTCTACATCGGCTTATCCAGGACATTTACCCCACAAGTTACCTGTTGCCAGTGTCCCCGGATGATCGGAATATACTTGAATAAAGAACTAACTATGGAAGCAAAGTAAAGCATAAATTCAACGATTACAACTTTCAAAGACGGTATTTCTGTTCAACAGCTAGAACAATAGAATACGAGTTTAAAATAAGCACTCAACAAACATACCATGGAATATACACAGACTTGAGACCTTCATATAGCTAGAAATGAAACAATTAAAAGGCTTGCCAAAAGAAAATCACGTAAAAGACAAGGGAAAAACCTTCTTCCAAAATAGAATGTGCAGCGTGAAAAGGGATGCTTGCAAAAATGTCAGTTCCAGGGAACATCATCCATGTGCGCTCATTCGGGTCATGATTACCACATGTTGCACACACCTCATGCACCAAGGGCCTTGATCCTGAACCACCGATCTTCATAAGCGACTCAAAAGGAGATGGAACACTAGTTTTTGTTGTGCGAGCCTTCTTTCTTAATGCTGTGAGTGCTTCCCTATTTCCATTCCGCAATTTATCATTTTCCACAAGCTGCATTTTCATCAGTAAAAGCGAGTAATATCCCATCGGTAGCTTTGACAATTGTATAGAATAATAAACATAGAAATTATAAATCTTTTTTTTATCTTTTGCATTCTTAAGATAAGCAAACAATGTAGAAAATACAAGCTGGTCCAATTTTATTGCCATATCACTATGTTTTTGGAACATGGAAAAAGCAATAGCCGTAAAATTTCACAACAGCCACAAAACATCAAGCAGCTAATTAGTCTAACTACCTGATTTCGAGCTAAGAGAAGTCTCTCTGCTTCAATTTCAAGCTCAACAAGACTTTGCTGGAATTGTTTCATTGTTTCATCCATATCTCAAACCTTTGCAGCAATATACACCTGAAATAATCAAAGTTCAACTGGTCGAACAGCTCAATGAAACTTGCACAAATGTAATAAAAATAAGATGCAGACCAGAGGCAGAAAAATTATTGCCATATTAGCAAAACAATACATAAATATAGCAAAAATAGCAGAATATCAAGATTCAAGAACAACTTAAAGGAACAAATCAGAGATATTATGCAGTTCCTTTCATGTAGTGGTGTCAAGCAGGTGGTTCAGGTCGAGTTTGGGCAGGTCACATATGGGTTGGACCAAATTAACCTATATAGACCCATTTTCTGTAATACGATTTTAACAACCCATACCTAACTTGACCTGTCCCGGACCCCCCCATACTCAACCCAACTAGGACTTCAATCTTTAGCAATTTTTTTCTTTAAATATAGGAAATAGCAAACTGAAAAATAAAATAATCAATTTATAAAAAAGTAATAGCTGGAGAAAATTATCAAGTTTAAATAGAAATAGAAAATTGAGGAAACAAGCTACTAGATCAGATCTTATATCTCCCTGATGCAAGACATTTGATCTGACTTATCAAAACAAACTATGCCTCGAAAGATATATGTAACCTATAGTTTTCCTCTTATAAGCACTAAAAGATCTGAAACTATGCAGACCCATCAAGATCTGATCTTAGGAGCGAGAACAAGGAAATGTACCAAATTCTGACGGTATCAACAAGGTTAAATAACGTCAAGCTTTCTACAAATACTATGTCAACTGCACGTAGAAAAAACGCAAGATGTTAACACCATCTGTGTACCAAAATGATTGGAATCTCAATCTTTCCCTGCTTCTATACTTGAACTACATGGTTATAGCTCTTGACATGTCAGCTAAGTACTCAAAGAAAACATGAACTAAAACAAGCTGTAACAATTGAGAGAAAAGATACTCTATTAGCTTCAAACATCAACAAGTCGGAAAGCAAAACTCCACTACAAGCTCAAAACAACAACTACAACCCCATTACAAACCAAATCAAACAACAGTCGTCAACTAGGCTTAGAAACAGTGTCCATGAGCAACAAACATAAAACTTCCTCAACTTGCATCATGGCCCTTAGACTTAATGAGAATACAACTACCTCCCAGTACAAATTCTGAAACCACTACCCCAGAAACGCTGTCAATAATCAAACAAAAACAGCAAGTATTACACTGTTAAGTTGTTAACAACTAAAAAAACGTATGAAAAAAAAGCTACTTCCAAGTCAGATTCCAACCAGCTATATATGTTAACGTCTGGCTAAAAGATAGACAAGATGACCCCACGGAAACCGCCGCCTAAGGGCCGCTTCCAGCCCACCTGGGAACCGGACCAGTCTACATAACACAACAATTTCCCAGTGTAGAAAAACCCTCGGTGACAGAGCACATGAGACATGAAAGAGACTCATGGTTTCCATGTGCAAGCTATCTATTCTGTTAGACTATCTCATGGGGCTTCTTCCTAGTTCTTTCATGACAGAGAGTTGAACTTGCAGAATGTTCTTGGCAATCAAAAGCAACAAAATTTTCAGAAGAAGAAAAAGAATACAGGATACCAAGCTTGGAGACAACTCCAAGCCCCTCCCGCTCGTTCTATACACACCCCATCTCCCCAAAATCCCCAAACAGAAAGAACAAGACAACAACCAGCAGAGACGCGACAGATGTTCCAACCAACCTGGAAAACAGAAGTCGAAACACCCTGAATCACAGATTAACAAACGGCTCAAAAGATGCCGCTCGACGAGAATGCTTCAAGAAGAATCAAAGAAGGTCAAAGGAATCGAAGGCGGAGTCAAATTCGCGGCGAAGGAGATGATGAGCGTACCTCCGTTTGGGTTCTTGGGTCCGACTGAGGAAGAGCAGAGACAGAGAGAGCAGAGAGGAATTAAGGCGTGCGTGAGGAAAACACTCAAACAATGAAATCTACTTAACACACACAATATATTATATTATAGGATAAGTGTATTAAAAGTCTTAAAACTTATCACGAAAATGTAATTGAGTCCTAAAATTTTCAAAAAGTATAAACAGGTCCTAAAACTTGTCACGAAAGTGCAAACAAGTCCTAAAACTTGTCAAATTGATTCAATCAAGTCCTTTTATTTATTACACTTTTTGAAAGTTTTAGGAATTGATTGCACATTTGTGATAAGTTTTAGGACTTGATTGCACCTTTATGATAGGTTTTAGGACTTGATTGTACTTTATGATAAGTTTTAGGACTTGATTGCACTTTCGTGACAAGTTTTAGGACTTGATCGCATTTTTTGAAAGTTTTATGACTCAATTACACTTTCCTGACAAGTTTTAGGACTTCTAGTGCACTTATCCCTATATTATATATATTGTACCATTTATTCTAAATAATGAAATTTACTTAACATGCAATATTATCTAAAAATCTACCCAAGCGATCTTTTTGGTAATTTTTTTTAATAAGGCAAACACTCGAGCAAAATAAGCATCCGGTCAGATAAGATTAGCATCTAATCATAGTAGATGCGCATAATGTTGCAATGAATTAGCACACAATCACCAAAGATGTCTATCATCACAAATTTGGCAGCAAAATGTATGGGGGGCCTATTTAACCACTGATGCGAGTATGCATCCTCTCATCTCTTTGCTTCGGTACATATTTCAACGGGATAATTGTACAAAGAGTCATAAACCTATTGTACGACGGTCAATGCAGTCCGAAACTTTTCAATTGTGTCAATTTAGTCGTAAACCTTTTGAAGATTTGCCAATTTAGTCATAAACCTTTCGATTGTGCCAATTTAGTCCTAAACATTTTGAAAATTTGTCAATTTAGTCATAAACCTATTATTTGGATATTTGGTTTGAAGGACTGTACTGACAAATCGTTAAAAAAGTTTATGACTAAATTGGTAAATCATCAAAAGGCTTGGGACGAAATTGGGTCAATAGAAATGTTTAAGACTAAATTGACCTTCGTACAATAGATTTATGATTTTTTGGACAATTTTCCCATGTTTTAACTGCTTAAAGAAATTCTTCATGTGTTACCGTATCATCCGCAAGCATCACCCTTCGAGCTATGTCTATCGTACTATACTTTATACGGAACATCATCTTGTAGACCAAAAAAACTGTCAATCCTCATGTGTTTGTTTTTTTTATTGATTTGAATATCTTCGCCAAAACACATTCACCACAGTTGCATCTCTCGCTTCCAAATTTTAATCCTTTGAAAACAATGGCATTAACACTAGGCGAAGACATTGCACCTGCGAAATAAGGACAACATTAAACATATTTAAGTTCGATGATTTGGCTTTTTGCCGAAAATATCATCTTTTATTAACCAACTTCTTTATCGCTCAAAATACATATGTCTTCATTAGGGGGAAAAATCGATTCTACTGATTCACAGATAACTCAGTACCATGTCGAGATTATCTCGAGTCGCATATGAAAAATTGACAACGCACTAGCCTCTAATCGAATCGGTAATCAAGAGATTAAAGCAAATGCAAATTATCCAAAAACAATAACCATCGTAATTACAAAAGGCCTAGGCATGTATTCGTAGCAACGACGTCAAAAGAGCAAATCAAAGAATCGAAAGATTTTAACCACCTTCAGCAATCTAAAATCTAGAAAACCCTTAAACCACATTGGCTTGATCACTAGCGTGGTCATCGACGCTGCCCTGTGACATGAAGCTCTCGTAGACCAACCCGGCTAGGCCGCCTCCCAAAATGGGCCCAACCCAATGAACCCAGTGGTGGCTGAAGTCCCCGGTGACTGCTGCTGGCCCAAAAGACCGAGCCGGGTTCATGAACCCGCCGGTGAACGGCCCGGTCAGCATGAAGTTCGCTCCGTACACAAACCCGATCGCCGTGGGGCCCGCTATCCCGTGCGGTCCCTTTCTCGGGTCTCTCGCGGCGCAGGCCGTGTAGACGAGAGCGAACGTCCCGATGAACTCCGTCGCCGCGCCGCCCATGCTCGTCACATGTGGAGCTAACCCACCCACCGGTATTGCCTGTCCAGACAATATCCATTACTCATAGGTATATTGCAAATGCAGATGTCTATGGAGACTTAAATGCAAATCAAGCACATCTTAAGTTTGGATAAAATTATTTGTCCAAGAAGACCAAGTCCATTAGACATGATTTAAGACGAGTGACATTGATACATAAATCCACGGGTTGGTTAGGACATGTTTTGCACTAACCTAAGATGTTCTTCACTTTTTTGGCGGGTTTAGAGATAAGTTAGTTGATCTTGAAACCATATGTAATAGGCTAATTAAAAACCATCAAAATGTTTCATTCGCTCTCTTATTTGCGTTAGGTGAGTTTAAATAGAGAATAATAACATTTCCTCAAAAAAAAATTCAGAAAAGGCAAAAAAAAGAAGAAAAACAACAGAAAATCATCACTGTCCTAGGTAGAAGTTCATTAGGAAGAATGGCAATTTTACCTGGCCTGCGGTGAGGAGCATCAAGAGGACACAAGCTATGGTGGAACCCAAGAGCTGAGCCAAGCAGAAACAAACTCCGCTCAAAATGCCGACGTGACCTCCCATCACCAGCCCGACCGTGACTGCCGGGTTGACGTGGCCACCGGATATATGCGCCGACATGAACACTGCCGCGAACAGGGCAAAAGCATGCGCTACGGCCACCGCCAGGACGTGGCAGTTCTCACCGGCGGCGCCAGCTGTGGGGATCGCCGACATGCCTAGTGAAGTCAGTTTCGAACATCTAAGTAAAATTTTCATTGAAGTTCGCTAACATATGTTCAATTCACAACGCTCTTAACCAACTATGCAAGAAATCATAGATAATACTAGTGCCAAATTCATCATCAAGTTTGCTAATATCGTCTCCCAAAATCTATATTTCCATTTCCATAGCGACACACTAGGAGGCTACATTGAAACCGCAACATGACTACCCATGCTTAAATTCAATCATAGTCACTTAGATTACGATACATAAGTTCGACAACGGTTCCCACCGGTAGCATTCTCATGAAATCCATGCGATGCGAGCTCCAGGGAGAACCTACCGGCGGAGATCGCGGAGCCGACGCCGGCGAAGACGAAGATGAAGGTGGAGACGAACTCGGCGAGGTAGGACCGGAGGGAGGACTTGCTGAACAGCTCTTCCATGACGTCGAGGAATAGGGAACCCGCTCTTAGGAAGGAAGAGACTTTGATCACTCTCATGGCGTTTGTGGATTTCGCTATTTATGCCCTTCTGTATCCGGAGAGAGTAGTTTCACTGCACGTAGTGATCGATTGAAGGTAGTGGGGGGGCTTTTCTAAGGTTCTGTTCTAACACGTTCATCGGTATCTAAAGAGGTAACTGTCTCGAGTTAACCGCTTTCCTTGATCATGGGATTAGAGGGCCGAGGTTTTGGCGTTTAAAGCGTTTTTCAAAACTCCCCTTTTTTCGTTTCTTTATTAGGCTGGTGAATTTTAATTGAGATGTGTTCTTATTATTTTGGCCGCAGAACGCGCAGTCATGAGGCACTCGTCCTCGAAAATAAATGTGGTTAGAAAGCTCAACTGCCTAACGAAACGAATTTATGCCACCTTCTAACTACGAAGAACATTACATTTAGACGCATCCTTGGACCGATGTTAAAATTCACACAACCATCGTTGTACGGATGCTATGCGTCCAATGAGTTATGATAGATTTGTTTCACGTAAAAAAGATGATTCAAAAAATTTCTAGAAAATGATCACTTTCCAAATTCATTTTCCTCCGAATCAGACGGAACCTTAGTCACATATAAAGTTTTCACACTTCTACCAATCCACTGGTGATTATGTAAGCCATTATACCTGGATGGGAAAGCGTATACCTTCGATTGTTACCTTTTCTCTCGGTTTGATATGTCGACACGCACAAGGAAAGGAAGGACACGCGACATAAACACTTATCATAATTCATTGAGTATGAGAGTACCATACTAGCAGAAGTTACAATTAGGATCTTTAAACAAGTTGAAATGAAAGAAAGTAGCAGAAGAGTTCCCATTGAGTTACCTTATATATGCTCCCAGCAAAACATGTCTTCATAAAAACATGGGAAAATTCCAATTAAGGACCCCAATTTGGGTCTTTTTCTCAAAAAAGGATCTCAAGTGGACATAGTGTTAAATAAGGACATGAAGTGCTCAATCAATCTCAAATAAAGACCCGAAGTGCTCAATTAGTCTCAAGCAAGGGCCTGAGTTCGCCGGCCGGTGAAATGCTCGGCCGGCGAGCACAGTTACTGTTCCAGCGATCGAAAAAAGGTAATCTCGTCTTTTTCATCTTTTTTTTACTTTTCTATTTTTTTTCCTTTTCCTTTTCTATTTTTTTTAATTCTCTTCCCTCCGCCAACCATAGCCGGGGCCGGCGACCTCCGCCGGCGAAGGCCGCCCTCACCTGGGCTGGGCGGGCAAGGGTCACCCTCGCCCTCGCCCGATCTGGTGAGGGTCGCCCTCGCCCACCCAGCCCAGTTGAGGGCCTCCCTCACCGGCGTCGGGCACGAGCGACCCTTGCCGGATCTGGCGAAGGCGGCCCTCGACTGGGTTGGGCGGGCGAGGGCGAGAGTTGCCTTCGCTTGATCCGGCAAGGGCAACTCTCGCCCTCGCCCACCCAGCCCAGTCGAGGACCGCCCTCACTGGCATCGAGCGACCCTCGCCCTCGCCCGACGTCGACGAGGGAAGCCCTCAACTAGGGTTGGGCGAGCAAAGGTGACCCTCGCCGACGTCGAGCAAGGGCTACCCACGCCCGCCCAGCTCAAGCGAGAGCGGCCTCCGCCGGCCCAGCTATGGCCGACAAAGGGAAGAAAAGAAAAAAAAAACAGAAAAGAAAAAAAAAGATGAAACTGCCCTTTTCCGATTGCCGGAACAGTAACCATGCTCGCCGGCTAGCGAGCATTTGACCAGCCGACAAACCCAGACCCTTACTTGAGACTAATTGAGCACTTCGAATCCCCATTTAAAACTGATTGGACACTTCAAGCCTTTATTTAACACTATATCCACTCGGACTCCTTTTTTGAGAAAAAGACCCCACTTGGGGTCCTTAATTGAAATTTTCCTAAAAACATTAGACACGCACGCACATAACTACCCATTGACACATTCATAACCAGTTTCCTAGGTAAATATCATACTGCTTTTGTGTATTTTTAAGGGGGCGGGCGGGGTGCAGAACACAATCCCAACGTTCAAAATAGACGCGATGCACTGCCTACTTTCCGAGCGCATGTGTATTTTTATCAATACATGGAGATTATTAGAGCTTACAAAATTTATCTGATCACACGCCTGGATCACCTGTGGTACATGACTAACACATCTCTCTTCTGGAACAAAGAATATTACATAGCGCAAAGGAAAAAGAATAAATAGACATTTGATCCACATAGAATGGGTATTGGAATTATTTATCCTAAAACTATTCAGCCTTACTAGCCTTGTGTGCATTTACCAACTGCATTTGCACATCCTGAGAGACAGCTGAATGTTCTTTGTATTCCATAGTGAACTCGCCTTTGCCCTGCAGCACAAGCAGCAGATGTATGAGACGACATGGGTTTTGGCATTCGTAAAGGAAATCAATCAACACAAAATCCACCTGTGTCATCGAGCGAAGAGCAGTGGAGTAACCAAACATATTGTTCAAAGGGACCTGGAAAGCAGGAAAGAAGAGGAGATGAAACATGAGTTTCTGACAAAGTTAAGGAATAGCAATTCACTCATTGACCATGAGAGATCTGTTGACGGTTACTACATAAATGTATCATATGGGAGGAGTCCAGAAACCATTAATGGTCAAACTAGCAAACCCTGAAATGCAACATATCAAGGCAAACATAATCTTGAACGAGCCTTCACTATAGTGATCTGGATTTTACTTATTTAAAACCAGTGCTGTTTTTTTTTAAAGAAAAAAGTAAGCTTATCATCGTTGCAGTATATTAGAGCATGAACTCCAAAAACATTCACAATATTTTTTTAAGGCAACTTTTTCCAAGATAACATTATCATGAAATTGTTTGTTGTTGTTTTTTCTTTTGGCCAATGTATACACATACTAGTTCAGAAGCCACGGGCCTGACAGGCCAAAAAGAGCCAAACAACATACAAATTTACAACATCAAAATTAGAGGCACTGCATCCAACACTGTCTAGAAAATCAAAGGATAAAGGAGGCAATCATGTCATGCATACCTGAGCCAAAATTACTGTTTCATCTCCATCCTGGTCATTGCCTACGATTACACCTTTCCTCCTGTAATAAAATAATGTCAAGCACCTATTTAGCTTTGAAAACATTGGGGAGAGGATAGCAACATCATGGTACAAAGATAGATGGGATGGCTCACTTATTGATATCACCAGCAACAGTTCCCTGAAACTCTGTCGGTACTTTTAACTCCACCAGCATTATTGGTTCCAAGATTACAGGTTTTGCAGCTGAATAGCACTGTTTCACAGAATATATAATTAGCACCATGAAATAAAGTGAATGTGTCACGATCAGTTCTTCCTCTTTTTTTTTCCAAAAGGCAAATAAAGAAGTTAGATTTTCTCCCCCATTTACAACTGCAGAGTGAAATTGATGAACGTGATCCTTCAAAGCTGTGAAAAATGGTTTGCAGTAAACTACCAGATAAAAGGTACCTGTCTAAATGCATAGATGGAAGCCAACTTAAAGGCCAGCTCACTAGAATCCACAGCATGTGAAGCGCCATCCGTCAGAACAACGCGAATATTTTCAACAGGATGACCGATCAATGACCCCCTGCATGTAAAAAAGAAGCAGATTGATTAAGGAATCAATCGCAATTTTCATGTTCTATCGGGAACAGTACTATTGGCATTTCACAAATTCCAAACAGCTCTCATAACAAATTTGGGTTAAGGGGAGACAGTAACTCACGAATTGGCAGCTTCTCTGAAGCCTTTCTCAATTGCAGGGATAAAATTGGAAGGTATGGCCTGCCCAACAATCATCTTTTCAAATTCAAACTTTACAGGCGACCCTTCTGGAAGAGGTTCAACATATCTGTCATTTGAAAAATTTCAATCAAACAAAGCTAGACAGCAAAATACACAAACGAGATTCAACTGCACTGACACATTAACTTCGTTCGCAAGGTTGAGGTAAGATTACTGAAATCCACAAAAATTAGCCTTGGATTGAAAGGAAAGATAATGCTGTTTAATTCTTTAGTGGCTGCTATATACACATGCAGTGGTTTGACTCAAGTATCTTAACTAAGTGGATCACATAAAATATGAAATAAAAGGCAGTAACATATATCTCTTTATTCTTAAGCATAAGCCAAAAAGCAAATTGTTCTAAAAGTCATCAATCTTTCAAACCACTATTTAGACCTCAGCAAAAGCTCTCTCAAAGTTGCAAGGAGAAGCCATCAAACTAGAAATTCCATGAACATGAGCCAAAAATTAGCCAAGGTTCTGTCACCCTCAAAAGGGTGCAAAGAAGTATGTTAAAACAATAAGACCAGGACTTCCATTTTGGTCTCTAGCGAGAACAATGACCCAAAAATATCTTTTACTCGATTATTCCTTACTTAAGGGTAGACAAGTACTATAGCTATTTCTTTCTAACATCCTGTCAAAGGAAAGAGCTTAAAAAGTTTCAAATTAACATGGAACGTCGGATCTACGAAGCATATCCTAAGAGCTTGATTAAGCAATTTTATAGTCACTTGAGTTTTTTATCATCGAGATAGATCTAACAGCAGCTACAAATAACTGAATGGTTTTCAGGAGAGAAATAACTCAGCACAATTACAACAAATGCATCAGTCATTTGTAACAAAGCTGTAAGCTTGACCTTGTAGCAAAGCATGCTAAGGGAAAACGAAAATGCTCATGGACCATTCAATGCACAAAAAAAAAGCCTTAATGAAGAATGTTGAAGACATTATCCTGTTGCAAAAATCAAGAACTGAGATAAAAATAATCAAGTAAACCAGATATCAGAATCCAACATTTGGTTATTCAGGTGCACCTTCACTTACCCACATACTCTACCATATTGACCCTGTCCTCCAGTTTGCTTCTTATGCAAGTAATCAAATTCAGCACGCTGTGTAACAGTTTCTCTGAAATTCACACGAGGCTTTCCAACAGTTGCCTCTACCTGTTTTAAGAGAGATGAGACTTTTACTAAGTAGTTATTTAACTCTCAACAGCGAAGGATGAAGGAAACAATTTTTGCATGACATGGAAGTGAGGACGCACCTTGTACTCCCTGTGAATTCGTTCAACATATATCTCCAAATGCAACTCTCCCATACCAGATATGATGGTCTATTTATAGAGAAAAAACATATTACATCTAAGGTAACAAATTGACACCAAAGATAATTTGAAACTACATAGAAAACAAACCTGCCCACTCTCAGCATCCAACCCCACACGGAAGGTAGGATCCTCCCTTTGAAAACGGTTCAAAGCTTTTGAAAACTAATAAAAGGAAAAACAAACGTGTAAATGGACGATTACCACTCAAATACAGAGAAGAAAACTTTTGTAAATAAAGTTATATGCTACTCACTTGTCCCCCAGAATCTTTTGAAACTGGGGAAACAGCCAAGGACATCACCGGCTCAGGCACATTCATGGAGGTCATGGTGTATTTAACTTTCCCATCAGTGAATGTATCGCCTGACAAAAGAACAAAGGACAAAGACGCTCATAATCAAGCTACAGACCAAGTTTTTTGGCTAGCTTATCACATTTAATTAATTTTAACCTTTCTTTTACATTGAACTACAGGAAATCAACATTTTTATCATTGCTCATGGGACAAATTTCCTTTCCTCCTTTTCAGGCAAATTAAAGCTTCACAAATCAACAATCAGTGCTAGCTGAGCTCTACCATGCTGGGGAGAGAGAGAGAGAGAGAGAAAGAGAGAGAGAGAGAGAGAGAGAGAGACCTGAGGCACAATCCACTCCAAAAACAGCAACAATTTGCCCGGCATGTGCCTCTGGAATATCCTGTTGAGTAGATATTTAAATAAGATAAGCGGTATTTATACTCATCAATGACCAAAACTGACCTAGTGTACGAGTTTGACTTTTCTCAGATTGACCCAAAATACAAGAAGATAATAGCTAATTAAGTTACTAGAAGTCAAGAAGTTACCTCCATCTCATCAGAATGCATCCGTACGAGGCGAGGAACCTACTCCAGAACAATTAGGGAAGTCCATATGCCCATAACACATGTAAATAAAATATAGAAGAAAGTAGCAGAAATTGAACAAATAAAAATGAAGAGCAATACATCCACGGACAAAATATTCAGTAACATTTGCATGTTGTACCCTTACAACACTGGAGTAGCAAGAGATTGCACCTAACACAAAATAGGGATGGATATGATGGCTTTAGCAATCTAAGGGCTGGAGATTTCTGTAAAGCTCTCAAATTCATACTAATAAAATCCAACATTTTTAAGGATGCATTATTCTTGTTTATACATAGAATTTAGCAGATAAAATTAGACCAGGTCACCACTGGCACCTATTTTGGATCAACCATCTCAAAATTACCAGAAGCTACACTAGTAGAATTATCATAGACCAACCACAGTGGACTTAAGTTAAGACATTCACTTTTGGACAGATATCAAAATTGGTACCACTGCTTCTCATGTTCAAATCATTCTTCCACACAAATGGCAAAGCAATCTTAGATAGATTCTCAAAGTTGCAAGGGATACTCAGAATTGTTTTCTCAAGAAAGCACGTATCATGCTGGAACACATGAAACCTGATTTCTGCTGGAATAGGCACAGAGGAACTAAGTCTGGAAAAAAATAGGAAAGATCTTCCTTTATGTGTTAGGTGACGAATGTAGAGGAACAGGAGGCCATGTGAAAGTACAAAGTTCACTCATCAAATAAAGAAGCATCTCACTTCCAGACTACAGCTCTTTCACTTCCAGAAGTTTTTTATAATAAGATAAAGAAGCATCTCAAAGTGAAATTTTTTTTACCAAATAAACTGAGGAAACTTATCATGAGAAATACGGCCTACAAAACAAATAAAATCCAGAAAACATCCTCTAAGAATTCTCGACTCACCTTCACCTTCTTTCCAGTGTTTACATTGATGATAAAGTCCCCCTTCCGAATGACACCCTCGTAAATTCTTCATTAAACGAAAACAAAGTCAGAGGTAGATATTCACTAAAGCTTGCCACTCAAAGTAAAAGCTTATAAGCAACCTGTAAAATTATAGGCATTCTACAAGAGAAAAACTTTCAATCACACCATACCTTAAATATGTTAACTGACCAAATCGCCCTTCCTCCAATTTAAAGGCCAATGCTACTAATGGTCCATCTGGAGTTCCAGTCAACGCAACCTACTTAGACAAAAATACCTCAGAAAACCAGTACATATAGTTAACAATTCCAAAATTTAAAAAAAAACAAATTTCTTTACACATTTGTAATACCTTTTCTTCCTTCTGGTTTTGATCAAGAGCATAATTACTGACTTCAATTGGACAGGGCAAATAACTGAGGACACCATCCAAAAGAGGCTGAACTCCCTGGAGGCAAGGATTCGTGATAACGGTGTAATCATCTCTACATATGAAATTCACAATATATAGTGCAAACAACTGATGCTAACCCAAAGCATTACAAGATAAGGGGAACAAATTTCACAAACATACTTAGTAAATTATCACGCCCCGCCTGAATCAATGGATGAGACACACACCAACATACTACACTTCTCCATCATCAGTATTCTAATATTGGAGGGGAAACACATCAATGAAAGAGGCACCCTTCTATTCTAAGGTTTATTGTTTAGGGGAACTCCTGCATGGAACCAGACCTTGACAATAGAAACTTATGGAAGAGGAAGGTTATTGTAGTTGGTGTTTTCTTTTTTTTCGGTCAAATAATCCGTTGGTGTTGGATGTGTGAAATAGATGCTGAGAATCTATTAGGCAAATACAGTTAAAGATTTGTCACAAAGCAAATTTTGCTGTACCAATAAAAGAGAAACAGAAGGATCTTTTCAGGTCACAGATCCCCTTGTCAACTTGAAAGCAATTTCTTCTAATAGGTGAACTACTGACGCAATTGGGCCATTTGTCATGGAATTTTTGTCAGGTTCTATTAACTTTTCCTTCCTACTTCACCTTCTGTTACATCTGGTATAAGTGGGTTCTATCAATAAATATTGATTTTATAATACTGAAAGCAGATATATTAACAGGCACAATCTTCCTTAGCACATCCGGTCTAGCAAGATAAGGCTTAGTTTGTTGTCATCGTTATTGCTTTTGTTCTCCTTCACATGCAATTCAAATCCCAACACCTTCCTCAGTATTAAATGGTTGATGCTACTGAGACAGGCAATGGGAGGACTTAGGTAATGGCAAAAAGAACGATTTCAAGAATACCTTATTTTTGAATGCGCTACCCATGAATACAGGTACAAATTTTTTTGCTATGGTGGCCCTGCGTATGGCTTCCTGCAATATGTAGAGTGTAAGTGTTACATGTCGTCAAAGAACAAGCAAAACACCAAAACATTGATGAATGTTATACTAAAGGATCATCCCACTACACGGTTAATTCATAACCTACACAGTCACGAGTCTTTCAAATTATAGTGAAAATACCGGAAGCTGCAACACATCTTTCCTGTTAGCATTCACAGAATAAACAACAGAGGCATAACTTATCACATGGAAAAACAGAATTTTAATAATACTCCATATCACACTCAATGATTCATAATACGCTAGTCAAAACCAATCTTAACCTGAAAATTACTTCAAGAAAATTAAAAGAGCTAAACCTCAAGATCAGCAGATGATATAGGCTCATCACTTAGAAATGCTTCAGCAAGTTTGTCATCAACTTCCGAAACCATCTCAATTAGTTCGCGCCTCTTTTCTGTGACCAGATTCTCCATATTGGCAGGTACCTCAGCAGTGACAATATTTTCACTGCATTAAATGAAAATTCAATCAGCAAAGCAAACAACCGTATCACATACAGACAACCTGGGGAAGCCCCTGGATTCAGAAACAGACCCACTGGAACCATGAAAATAGTAGGCTTTCAACTGTACTAGGTCAACAAGACCCTGAAATTCTTCTTCCAAACCAATTGGGACTTGAACAGCAGCGCTATGGTGCCGAAGTTTAGACCTTGCCTGAGATAAGAAAAATCTCTTGATCATTATGTCTAACAGGTGGAAAACACTATAGGTTCAAAATTAAGCAACAAGAGAGATTTCCTCATCACCAAAAAATTAGAAATTACATCAACTTGGCACTGTATCTACACAAAATGAATCTCATGACAATGTACAAACCCCCCCCCCCCCCACCCCCCGGTCTCCATGAAGATCACATCATGCCTACTGCAATTCATAGTCAAAATTTCCTTTCCCTTTATGTCAAATTCTACAGGAAAATATCAATTACATTTGTAAGTAATGACACTTATGGTACCAAATGCTCTTTTTCCAGACAAAGTATATCAATTAGTGAGACAACACTACATTGTCCAACAGAAAACATGCACAAGACACCATAAGATTAACCAGTTCCCTAGTTTAACTTACAATTTTCCAAAACCTAGAATTGCCATGGATCATAATGTTAGAAGTGATAAAGTTCAAAACATTCAATTTATCTCAAATATTATCGAAGCATCAAAATAACACAAGGAATTAGAGATTGATCTTCTCACCGACATTAATCTTGCACAACCATGATGTTAGTCATGGAGTATATAAATGACAACGCAAAAGATGATTTCAGATTTGTTATCATCACTTTTTTTTAATAATACCTGGTTAAGAACTTTCCAAGGATCTGCTCCCATTCGATCAAGTTTATTTATAAATGCAAGTCTGGGAACTTCATATCTTCTCATTTGACGGTCAACCGTTATAGATTGACTTTGTACGCCACCAACGCTACAAAGGACAAGAATAGCCCCATCAAGAACACGTAAAGCCCTCTCCACCTCGATTGTAAAGTCAACATGCCCAGGTGTGTCAATTATGTTAACCTGCAGATCATCATGCCCGAAGCAATATTCCAGCGATGAGACAGACAATCCATAGACTAAAAGATAACTGTGAAAATAATACAAAAATTTGCATCAATTAACAGAACCTAGAAACAGACATTCCATAGACTAAAAGATAACTGTGAATAATATACAAAAATTTGCATCAATTAAAAGAACCTAGAGTCCTGTCATCAAGTTTGAAGAATTACCAGATTAGAAAAGGGTAGAAAGAAAAGCAACATATCCGGAGATGTGAACAGACTCCATAGAGAAAAAGATACTCATGAAAAAATACAAAAGTTCTCAATCAATTTACAGATCCTATCATGTTTAAAGAATTGCTAGATTAAATATAAAATAACAACCGGGCAAAGAAAGACCATGCAGATAGCCATTAAAGAAAAGAAATAAAGGAAGAGAGAAAGAGAAGATGAATGATTAATAAAATTGAAGTTTCATGAGCTAAGCAAGTAGTGACTCTAAATGAGGAACAGCTGACAACTAATATGTAATTTTTTAACATGGTAAAGAAAAATACATGATCTTTTCTTACCTTGTGAAGAGAGAAGTTGATCAATACATGGTTTTTTAAACAATATTCGATACTGCATCGTTCTGGTATTACTATACCTTTCTTGATCATTACGAATTGGTTATTCGTCAACTATGGGTTTGCGTCAATATCATTAATGAACAAGCAACCAAGGACTTTGGCATGCTGCATGTCACCCCTTTACCCAAACAAAAGCAAACTTTTCCGTGATTCAAAGGTTTAATTAAACTTGTTGAAAGTTCAACCTAACATATATCGGGTATGTTGCCTTCACATGCATCTAATTACATTGAGATGAGACTTCTGATGCTCGATTATTCCTCCACCTGTAAAAGGTGGTCTTTTTACAGGAATCTAGGGGCAACTTCACAAACCCAAACAAGCCCTTATAGACAGATGGAAAGCCCACATTATATATATAAATATATATATTCTTTTTTAACACGACAGATGGAAAGTCTATATATCTACAATATTCAAGATACAAAAAAGGTACTAGTGGAGTAACAGCCCATTTACGAGCTTAAAAGAAAGAGCCAAACTTCATAGATAAAAAACCTTGCCCGGCTTACACTAACATATAACGAAAGAGAAATGTCACTGAAAAATTACACATGCCCCCAACACATTACCTAAATACATTCCAGATGCTATCAAGAAATAATCTACAGAAGAACTTGAATATTCGAAGGATAAATCTTGTTAGACTTTTTATTCATGCAAAGCAACTACACTCACACCAGACACTATCAAACTTCCAATTTTTCATATAAGCACCAAGTTAAATTTAGCAACCATTAAAAGAAGAACTAAGATATACACTCAAACGGAGCAAAATTTTTATGAACGTAAGCACTTGAAAAGAAAGAGAAAACCCACTTTCACAGCAAATGTCTAAAGAAACGAAAAGACAGAGACAACTGTTCGCATCCATAAAGTTTAAGCTGAAGAAGAGCTACATTCTCCACTATTAGTGGAGGTAAGTTGACTCTTCTAACGATCTTTTTCTAGCAAAACCCGATTTACCGAGGACTATGCATGCTAAAGTTAAGTCTTTGTTGTGACCTAATAATATTCAGTGACATACAGTTCACTATCATTTAACTAAAACTCTACCAGCACCACATATTCTAGTGCAAAATTTGGACAGGATGCAAACAAGATTTCTAAAAGTAAGTTTCATACGTAAAATTTTTCCTTTAAAAAAAGATGGGACCCATGCCTTTGATTGGGATGCACAAGATTCTGAATGCAAGAACCATCCATCAAATATTTATATGAGGTGTCCCTCAACTTACTTAGTCTTATTTCTATTGTCTTAAGATCAGATTAAACTGAATGAAAGCTCACACTTCTTTTCTGTTTGAAAAAAGATCCAAACTTCAAACTTCTCTCACAAACTCAAACTAAGAAGGAGAATGTTCATTAAACAAGAGAAAGATGGAAACGACGCTCCTTACTGACTTCTCTTTACTCATATATATTAGATGTCACTATTCTATTTGCTTATTTATAACTTGTGTTGCTTTTGAAAAACGGTTTCTTTTTTTTTCACTCTTACGCACTTTTCTGGCACAAAACCAAGTCCAATCAATCTAAACCCAACCTAATCCCAAGTTTCATTTCTAAATGAGCTCCAAACTTAAGAAACTAAATTTTGTGTTGGACTTATTATTCTATTTGGGTCTTGATGTCACTTTGATGCTGATAGAACTTCATGCTGTAATCTGTATTAGAATGGTTTGCTTTTTTGACTTATGCCCGGTCGTAAAATTGATCCAGCTGGAAACTCAATTCATACCATTTAATGTCAACAACAACCAACTATAACATAAAATGTTTCCACTAAGACGGACTAATTACATAAATCATTTCATGCCACTTTTAGTACCAAACCCTCCAAAATTTCCAGATACTCCATATTCTTCTCCAAAGCATTTTCGGCTAACATTTTCAGATATTCCTCCTCCTGCCATTGGCCCTCTTTTCGTCCACTCCATCAAAAAGCTACTTCTGCTTATTAGTCAATCTTTCACATGTAATCCACTTTAATTGAGTTTCTCTCACTTATCCACAAATGAATCCACGCAACCTTTCGTAATTGCTAATCCTGTCTTTTCTTAAGATATAGAAACATTCTCATCTCTGCTACATTCTTTTTCTGCAGATGGTCAGACTTAATTGCATAATCTCTACAGCAATACAGCATCATCAACCGTGTTTTCATCCTATATAAAATGCTTTTAAGATTGGGTTCCGCATAAGGTACCAGATCTTCTCCACTTCGTTCATCCCCACTTCTTTCATGTGACCATAACCCTTCAAGTTCCCCACCCACCAAGTACATCCAAGATGTCGAGATAGCTTACTCTTTGGTACCTCCAGGTATCCCATTTTGACCATTGTTTCATTTGATCTCTTCAGGACTGGCACTACGGTTTTTCAACCTAAAAAGAGCCTGCAGATTCCAAAGTTTCCCTCCGGGATTCTAGCTTTTGATCTACTCCTTCCCTAGTTTCGTGTACACACACTAGCTCATCGACCCAATGCATATGTCATTCTTCCTTTGTGGTTTCCCAACAGATAATGAGCAACGAATTCGACAGGTACTTGCTCCCAAAAAAAGAAAAAGATACTTCCCACGAAAACGAGACAAAGCTCAAGACTACAGCTTCTACACAGAGCAGGTAAGTAAAGCCACTATATTTACTGCGCATAGATAGCTTCGTCAATTACAGAGACCAATTATTTAACATTTCAAGCTCTCATTAGCAGGAATCAAACCCCACAACAGCTTTTCACATGATGCGATCACCAAATATCCATAATCAAGCTCACAGCCTAACGACGACCTGAAAACAGAAAGAAAAGGGCTTGCTTTCTCACCTGATACCCCTTCCAGGTGCAGTACGTGGCGGCGGACTGGATGGTGATCCCCTTCTCCCTTTCCAAATCCATGGAGTCCATCTTCGCGCCGACCCCATCCTTCCCCCGGACCTCGTGGATCTCATGGATCTTGCCAGTGTAGTAGAGTATCCTCTCGGTGAGGGTCGTCTTGCCGGAGTCGATGTGGGCGGAGATCCCGATGTTGCGGAGCTTGTCCATGGACTCCTTCCACCACGGCTCCTTGTCGTCCTTCGCCGCCGCAGCCCGCGCGAGGTTCCCCGACGAGAAGTGCCGGAGGCTGGGGCCGCCGAGGAGGAGCGACGCGAGCGGCGATTGGAGGTGGCGCGAGGCCGGCGGAGGCGAGGCGCAGAGCGTGTAGAGGAGGCGAGGCGCCGAGGATTTCGAGAGTCGCGCCATGGCGGCGACGGCGGTGGCGGTGGTGGGAATTTGGGGTTGAATGGGGGTTTCGCCTCTGTAAAACCCTTGCAAAACCCCACACCCTCGTACCAGTGCGCTTCGAAGCGGTTCATGTTCTGTTTCGGACCTTTTTCGGGGCGGATCGGGTCGGGTCGGGTAGGGTCTTTGAACTTTTGAGTCGCACGTGCTTCGCACGTATTCATCAAGACTTTTTTGTCTTTTTTTATTTGTTCAAAGTGTAAAAGGTGAGGTTGGTCTCACTAATAATTTCTCAACATCAATCCCATTTGTTTTTTTTGGCTAGATTTACTTCGCCAACCTCAAATTACATACATAATCACATCATTTTATCTACTTTACTCGGTAACCACCTAGTTTTTCTTTTTAGGTAAACAGTTACTGTTGCTTCACATACATATGTAGTACATGTATCATCGTCAGTTCTCTTTTAAAACAGATTCTATTATGCACGATACTTATTAAGCAACAACATGATTTCAAGTTTTCAATAATTTTTATTGCATGTGATTGGTATTTTGAAAAATGGAACGTTTTTATGCAATGCATATAACAAGTGTTTTAAAGGCAACACATTAACATAATAATTTCTGCAATATTAGAAGTTCGTGTACCTCGACTTGAATTGTGAAAAAGTTAAAGTGGAGGGAAATTAGAAAAGAAGCAGCAGTAGTGATGAAATTAGATGGTTTTGAAAATATGACAATTTAATTTTTTAACATTCTTACAATTATTTATTTTTTTAGAATATTAAATTGATATTTTAATCTACAGACACGATGTGACATGAAAGGCCCATTTGATTCAACTTTGCAAATGAACCTTGAGAAAATGCAAATACCTTCAAATTAAAGCCTCTTGAGAAATGCAAATTTCATTTGATAAAAAATTATTTGTAAAACCATTTTGGCTCAACTAGTATTTGGAAAATCTTTTTTTTGCGAAGGGCATTGAGATTTTTTTATTAAAAAAAAACTTACCCTTCTCCAGCTCTAGCGAAGGGCTACGACCATCGGTGAGCCAGATTTGATGTCGGCGGCTATCGCCCGAGATCGAGCGACCCCGACGAGGGTCAAGCAACCCAAAGTGGCCCTTGTCGAGGCCGCACAACCCTAGGCAACAAGGCCCGAGGTCCCACGACCCAGCCCAGCGACGCCCGCCCGGGCTGCCTGGGGTCACGTAACCTCCAAGGCCGGTCGCCGGGTTGTGCAACCTCGTTGGCCCTTCGCCATCCCGATATGATGTCGTTGACTCTAACCGACCGCCCTCGCCCAGAGAAGATGAACAGTAATAAAGAAGGGCAAAATCGAAATATTAAAGAATTAGTGAGGGTAGTTTGGGAAGAAAAAATTGGTTTCAGCATTTGGAATGCGAGTGCGCGTTTGGTAACGTTTCTATTTCGGGAACAATTTCTTTTCGAAATAGTTTTTCTATTTCTATTTCCGAAAGAGTTCAGAGCAAAATAATGCGTTTAGAATCTAGCACAAAATTTCTATTTCTAGAATAGAAAAAGAACGAGAATGCGTTTAGTAATCGCACAAAATTTCTATTCCCAATTTTTTGCATTCAAATCTATATCTTTCATTTAACTATAAGTACAAGTTATAAGTGAAAAAATCAATAAGCATGGTTTATTGGTTTATCTAATCCTTTTAGGGGTTTAAAACCCCTTTTAATCCCTAACTAAGGAATCTTCAAAAATACCACTTGGGCACCTCAAAATTTAAATTTCACTCAAAGTGGGTGGCCACAGGTATTATAAGCCATTATGTGAATTTTTTTTTTTTTTTGGGGTAAAATTTATTAAATTTTTTTACTTTCCCTAAATCTGTTTCTTTTATTTTTTCGAAAATTTTTATGAAATTTTTTAATTTTTTCAATTTCGGAATTTTGCAAATATTTAAGGGTTTTCTGAGTTTTTCTGATTTTTATGGATTTTCTGAGAATTTTTCTGATTTATATGAATTTTGGGAATTTTTAAATTTTCTAATTTTTATGGGATTTTTCTGAAATTTTCTAATTTTTATGAATTTTCGGAATTTTTAATTTATTCTAAGCCATTATGTGAATTTTTTATTTTTTATTTTTTTGGGGAAAAGTTTGTTAAAACTTTTTACTTTCCAATCTCTTTTTATTTTCCGTAAAGCTTTTTATGAATTTTTTAATTTTTTTCAATTTCGGAATTTTGAAAATTTTTATGGATTTTCTGAGTTTTTTTTATTTTTATGGATTTTCTGAGAATTTTTCTGATTTTTATGAATTTTTGGAATTTTTTAATTTTTTATAATTTAATTAATTTTTAAAATTTTTTTATTATTTCGGCCAAGAATGGACCGGACCGGTGCTTTGAGATGGTTTGCAGACGACGAAGGATGGAGGAGGAGCTGAGGTCGCGGCTTAAGGACCGAACCTTTCTATTTCTATTTCTATTTCTAGAAACAAAGAAGTAGATTTTTTCTACTTCTTATTTCTGCTCCAAATATATTTCTTGGCCACTTTTCTATTCCGGAAATAGAAAAATAAAATGCGTTACAAACGGATTTCCGTTCTTTTTTGTTCCGGGAACGGAATAACAGAAAAATAGAGAAACGAAGCGTTACTAAATACGCCAAAGCCCAAGCTGTGATCAGGACTAGCTTTAACTTTGAAGCATTCCTAATGCCGGCTTTCGATCGAAAGCTCATTGGAAATGCTTGCCAAATACCCCAGCATTTCCCCAAGAAGGGCCCCTTGAGAATGCTGAACCAAACGGGGCTGAAGTGAAGAATAATCTAGCAAGAAAGGAGGAGCATGAAGGGGGTTGTTGTCTTGATACTAGGAACCCCTTTTGGAACTTTTCTTTGTTAATAGATATGACTGACAATTGGGCCTAATTCTCTAAAAAACCTTAAATTTTAGGTCTAGTACCAATTATGTTCCGAACTTTTTTTTTGTCTTAGAAAAAATCTCAAACTTTAAGTCGAGTCCCAAATCCACCCTGAACTTTTTTTGTCTCAGAAAAATCCCAAATTTTAGATTCAGTCCCAAATCCGCCCCAAATTTTGTTTTATTTAAAATAAATCACTGACTTTCAATATATTCTCAAATCTACTCCCGTGATCTAATCCCAACTTGACGTAACATTTCCACATCAATAACAAATCCATGTCAATAAGGTGACATGGAAAAATATCTCCCAAATGAAACCGTTTGAGGATACGAAAATTAGGGACGATTAATGGAGATTTTTGGACAGAGGGCTAATGGGGGCAGATTTGGGACTAAAGTGAAAATGGGTGATTTTTCTCTTAGACGAAAAAAAATTGGAGTAGATTTGGGACTGGACCTGAAGTTGGGAATTTTTTTTAAACAAAGAAAAGTTTGAAGCAGATTTGAGACTGCACTTAAAGTTTAGGGTTTGTTCTATGACCAAAAAAAGTTCGAGAGAAAATTGAAATTAGATCTAAACTTTAGGGTTTTTTAGGGAATTAAGCCCTAACAATTGTTGAGAAGAGTGGTATTAAGGGAATCTTCGAAAAGAAAATAAGAATTTGGTAACTAGATAGATACAATAAGGGCTGGTAAATCTATTTATATAGCTCGGAATGCAAGTTATAGATTTTGAATAGTGAGGGGATGAAAATTAATAATGTAACTTTTACTGCTTGAGGTAAAACTCCCGTTCGAATCATTAAAGTTCATGTTATTCATCCATAATGTCCGTTTCCCTATTTTTCTATTTTTTTTTCTCGGAAATAGGTTTGAAACAAAAATCTATTTGATAAAATAATTCCATTTTTTTTATTTTTGGGATAAATTTTGGCCTATAAATAAATTTGGAACAGAGAAATTAAAATTCTCCACTTTTATATTTTTGGAATAAAAAAATAAATAACAACTCTCTTTTATTGCTCACCCTTGCCGCCCACTCGCCGTCAATCGCCCGCTGCCGTCCACCGTCATCGCCCGCCCGCCAGGAACAGAAATTTAAAAATAACCTATCAAATGAATTTATATTCCGGGAACAAAATTTTGTACCATTATCAAATATTACTTTTTGCTCATAAACTCATTCGGGGAAGAAAAATAAAATTTTCTATTTCTAGCCAGAAATAGGGCCGGCGAAGAGAAATGTTGTCATTTGCGCCCTTAGTAAGCCCTAAAGATTGCATTTGATCGTTCGGACATTTTTGCTTGATAGGATAATAAGGAAAATTGTCCAAAAAGTCTTAAACTTATTGCGTTTTTGCAAATTGAGTCCAAAGTCTTTTAATTTTGCCAATAGAGTCCTAAACCTCTTCAAGTTTTGCCAATTAAGTCTACCCGACCAATTTTGATCGAAAATCGCTGACGTGGACAATTATTAATAATATTTGAATTTTTTGAATTTTTTGTTAATATTTTATACTTTCTTTTTCTTTTTCTTCATTTTACTTTCTTAGATAAAGGGCCGCCGGCAATTAACCGAAGACCAGCCACCTCTGCCGGCCACTGGCCGAGGTTTTGTTTACATGCACTAACTCATCGTTATGTTTAGCCATATATAAGTTCAAACTTTGAATTGCAAATTGAGGTTACGTCACGCTGGGCTGCTTGCTGTATGGTGTCGATGCATTGATGGGTTGTTTTGTTCTTGATAGTTGTAAGCAAAAAATCTTGCTTTTAAGATGTGAACTGTAACATTCCATGTCCAGACATAATTAGAGATAACACGGGTAAGTAAATATTCTTCAGAAAAATGGCTGTCATCTTTTTCTCTTTTTTTCGTAGTTTAATGTCCCCAACAAAGTCAGTTATATCCTGCTCTTCGACTTCAAGGCAGGGTGAGTTGACAGGACCCTAAAATGGCTGCATTTCCAAATTGGTGCTTTCTGGATCCTTGGACGCAGGAGCGGGTGGCGCCACTGCAGATCCTTGGTCGTCGTTGGAGCTCATCTCTTGAACAGGAGGAGGGTTAACGACGGTCACGGGCATCGGGGCATCATCAGAGAGATGATTCTTCATCTCCCGGTGCTCCTGGCATAATGCGCACCAGTGCATGCAGCAGTGCACGAGACATGGATCACATGGTGAATTCTGCACAGCAAAAGGCTGGTAAGTCAGCAAACAGCAACCAGAAGTAATCCCAGGTATGCCGAGAATTCATAAAAATCTGATGACAAACATTTGTAGCGGGCATCAGAAGGAAGCTACAATCTTTATTGCGAACAGAGACTATACAACAGTTTTAGAATCATAACTTAATAGATCTAAGGATGTACATGTTTAATAGAGTGGTACTTTCAGAAACTTCACCTACCAAAACACTTTTCAGTAAAAAAGATCATTTTAAGCTCATTCGATCAATAAAATGCCATATTAAACAAAAATGAGTAAGTCAGCAGTTAAATCAAATCCAATCCTAATCTCCTCAGTTTTGCTGACCTATAAAAATATTACCTAAGAAGTATAAAGAAACTCACCTTCAGATGATACTTATTCTGTAATGACTGCCGAAAGAGGCCAGTGTAGATGCCACAAATCCACCAAGCAAAAAACAGGCTCTCGCAGATAAGAAATGATGTCTTAGGATCAACACCATAAAACATTGCTGTCGCTGCGGCAACAGCCAACCCGCCTTCAACACATATGGCATGGCAAACACAAGCATTTGTCCAGGGAATATCATCTCTCAATGCTTCTACATTGCGCCCAAACAGCACACAGGGGCAGAAAAGCCCTGTCCAGCCTGTAGATTACATCATAGTTTAGAATCATAACTGCACCATAGAAATGATGTGAAAGAACGAGTGAACCAAAGGAACCGCAACCTAGGAACAAAAGATTTATGAAATTTTGCTTTTAGAGATAAATATGTCCCTCTTTCACAATGGCAACGGGTAAAATCACTATTGGACTAAAAGATCATATCATATCAGATACTTCCCTCCCCTAGCCTACTTATAGAATAGTCAGCTGTTCAAGGAACGAAAAACTGGACATAGCAGCGGTGATGAATTCATTGGCTCCATTTTTTGTTTTTTCCTTTTTGACAAATAGTGAACCTGCTCATAGAGGAAAAGATAGGCAGGATTCTTTTTTCTTTTTTGGCCAAAGGCAGGAATTGGCTGAGGATAGGCCAGAACATGACTTACCACCCATGTTCACAAAAGATGATGTCAACTGTGAATCGCTACACAGATCTGAAATGGAATTCTTGCATTCTTATGGTAAAAAGAAAAAAATAAGTTTGTGTTGTTCTATCATGATTAAATTTAACAGAAAGAAAGTTAACTGGAGTCAGGGGATGACAATCAATAATGTAACTTTCACTGCCTTGTTCGATGCTTGAGGTGCTAAACTCCTGTTTTAATCAGGCAAGCTCATGTTATTCATCCAAAACGTGCTTAGACCAATTAGTAAGCCCTAAGTTTTAGGCCTCACTGGGTTTCAAGGAATTGCTGGGCTTTAAATAAAACAAACACGACAAAACAAAACAAACATTAGAAGGAAGAAAGGTGATTTTCATGGATACTATCACAGAGATGGTGCAAGGCACAGGGGCTTGCAAGCCTTGACTGGCTCATCGAAGATGGTAGTACCACTGCATCAGATCTCTCACTATAGCCGCCCAATCCTAAGGGGGGTGATGTTGTCAACCTATACTGGTGGTGAACCCTAGTGAACATGGAAGCGACAGAATTGAAGGTCTCACTTCCTAATCTTCCTCCTAATATCAAAACTAACCCTGTGAACAAGGACACATTACAAATGGTTGTCATTCACAGCAACAGCAAGACGCCATTCAGATTTCGACCAGAAGCAAATGGTCTACTCTTAAGTTTTGAAAAATGGAATGCACAAAGTAGGTAGGACATAGAGATTAAATGAACTCCATAATGACCATCCATGTTGTTAAAACACAAAGAAGACTCTTACAGCTTTCAGGATCATCAGCACAAGCACAAATGCCAGTCGTCCAATCTTCGTCAGCTGGGGCCTGGTAACTCTCGGGTAAGGGTTGCCCACATTCAGAACATCTACGGACATTCAACTGTAGAGCAGAACACAAAAATCAGCACCAAACATAACATCACACGAATGAAAGAGTCCAGTAACCCACCATGTGATAAAAAACGCAAATTCTACACAGTATTTGCAAGTGGGAAGTCAATAACCGTGTCCAGGCAGTGCAGGAGGGGAACTTATTATTCCGAAATTCATAATAGCCTCTCCTAGTCCTGAACCACCTGGATCCAATTTCACAAAAGGATCGAAACATGATCTCCAAAACGAAAAATTCACGATCTCGCAGTTCCAACTTTTCCATCTTTCCTATCCTCATTTCCGGTTGTCAAAATTCTCACTTTGTTCCCCACCCCACCGAGAACAGAGCAGCAACAGTCGAAATCAGCGTACGAACTTGCCCTCACGAACAACAACCATTCCCATCCACATTCACGTCCACATTCCCATTTCCCATCACCGAAAATCCCGATCGACCCCCGACACGAGCGTTTTAGATTCACAATTCACACCACCGCGCACCGGAGAAACCAAAGAAACGCACGGGATCCCCAGGACCGGGCGGCTCCGGAATCCCGAATCCACGCGACGAGGAAAAAACCCAAATCGATCAGATCAAAATCAAAATCAAAATCGAACAGGAGGGTTCGACCTGAGGGATTTCCACGGGCTGGTTGAGCTCGCCGGGAGTGATGTCCTCCACCGGCGCCTGGTCTTTCGTCAGCTTCACGTACCGCGACTGCTGCGCGTTCCCGTCCGCCGCCATGTGGCCCGATCGGGCCCCGGAGCTCCTCAGATCTCGCGAAGGCTGGCGATGGTGGGGTCGATCGCCGGTGCATGCAGAGGCCTCGTCGATTCACGTCGTAGAGAATGCCAGAAGTGGGAGGAAAAGGTCGCAACTTTAGAGAGAGGAGAGAGAGAGAGAGAGAGAGGGGGTGTGAAGGAAACTATGAATAATCCTTCCAATCTCGATGAGATTTTTTTTTGCATTAATTTTAGGATTAATATCACTAAAAATTAAAGATATCTGCGATAAATTTACCAAAACTCCCGAATTGGTATATTCACCCCATCTGAACTCGTAATTTAGAGTTTTGGCTCATCAAAAAAATTATGATTTTTTTATGTTCGAAATGAACGAAAATTTGGTTTTGACAATTAGTTTAAAAATTGTCGCAAGTGAATCAATTTTAGATTTTTTGTGATATTAATCCTTAATTTTGTTACGTATTATTCCCTTCCTTTTTAATGGATAAAATCATAAAACTTAGTCAACTTTTTATTTTATCTGAAATTTTGCAGCACACTCCCTTTAACTTTTCCTTTTCGCGAAAAATACCCGAAACTTTCATGGCATTATTCATACTGACACTTCAATTTACGTAACAATGTCGACATTCAGATCCCTCCTTTGCGCACATAAAAAACATGTGGCGTAATTTAGCGAAATCGCTCGTATACGATCAATCAGTGTTGATTTATTGATTCGTCGCCTCTCATTCAATTTTAAGTTTGAAAAGACTCGTAAATTGAAAGTATTATTAGATGTGTCCCCAAATACATTCAACCAATAAAATAAATCAAAATAAAATCTTTTGAAATAATTTTTTTTTCGAATTAAAATAAATTTGTGTTGAGCTTCCTATACATTTATCATTTTTAGGCTTATCTCATCAATAAAGATAAGGTGTCTTTTTAAGTATTCCGATTAATTCAATGTTGTCGAAAAAGTATATCTTTAGTAGTGGTTATCGAGGGTACCTCACCAAAGCAGGGGAAATCGAGATTTCCAACTAGGGCCGTCTTACCTGTCAAGGTGTATACACTTGGTAGACTAACAAGATTGTGTTCCTTATTTAACATGTTGGTGTCCACACGCTCGGCCCCCCCAATTGGGGAATAGTTTTTATTCCCTCACCCCATGGAATATCTCGTGTTTTACGCCTCAGAGTTTAGACGAAACCTTTTAAGGAGTTCTTACGAGGTGTTTCCCCGGCCACAATATCTATCAAGGTGTGGAAGCCGCCTCTACCCTCCCATTTGTCTTTAATGTCTTCCTAGAGGTGGGAGGGTACCGTCTAGGTAAGACTACCTTCTAAGTCTCCCTTCTTAGGAGCTTTCGGATTACCCATCAAGACCTACGGAGGAGACTCTTAGATGTATGCCCTAAAGTAATCATGTAATAGTTACATGTTAGGGATTTAAGTTGATCTATCAATTTCATTATTTATTTAATGGCGAAGATGTATTCATTCATTTATCCAATTATTTATATATATGAATGATTTCATAAGATCAGTTGTGACTCTACCTATTCTTGATACATTAAGAATATGTGTGACAGGTTCACAGTTAGACTGAATATTTAAATTGTTCCCAGTCAATGGATCATTGAGTGGATATTAATGATCCTGTTGAAATCGGTGTGTTTTTAGCTTCACCATTAAGTATTAGATAATTAAGGAAATGACAAGTCAAGAGTCATTGAGTATTGTGATGTCCGAGTTAGAATACAGGTGCTTGTACCAGACAAATTCACTGAACGTGACACGCATATAACGATTAGCAACACGGCTAATTGTTCATGCTTTGGTCTTGTGTAAATAATCCTTAGACCTGAGCCCTCCTTGTTACATGCAAGGTACAATAATGATGACTTATGCAATCTAATCATGGCAATGCATTGAAATCCTCTGTCGAGTTGTAATCGAGATGAACTATTCATGTCTCGTATAAAAGGCATGTCAATTAGGTTTGTGCATATGATTGAATTGGTGGCTTGATAAATATTCCATGGTCTTTGTTCGATTAGGACATAGTAAGGCAGAGGGATTGAATTACACTATAACCAAAGCTAACAGGCTTATTATGTTCTTGAAGTGCCATGACATATTGCTAGATGTCAATCATGACTTGTAGGACTTAGAGGTTGATCGGGACAATCAATTTTCTTGAGCGTACTAATGCGTTAGTGCAACTCTTACTACCAACTCAGTGACGAACCTAGAGATGTCAAATACCATAACCAATTTAGGATGATGTTGAACGGGAGAAACGATATTGCAAATATATTTGCGATCATAGCAATCAAATTGTCGGGCTAAAATTAGATTAAATGGGATTTTATTTTATTTTATTTTTTGGTCATGGGCATGCGTGCATATGATACACACGAAATGCACACATGCAGATTATGCACTCTTATATTTTAATCATTAAAAATAAAATAAAATATGATTAATTAAAAAAACAAAGAAAATGTGCATGCACACGGTCAGCAACCGTTGCTGACCGCGTGCGAGAGTGTGATCGGCAACAGTTACTGGGATAGATATATAGAGTGCGTGCATGCAATATGTGTGCGTGAGAGATGTGACGCCCAGAACGTCACGTGTGATACGTGTCTTTTCTAGAAATTTTTTTTTACTTATAATTATTAAAGCACACGGAAGCATATTAAAGCATTCACAAAATCCCATACAAGTTTAATGTCATACATATGCATCTTTTTATATACATTATCACCAGTTTTACAATACAACATTCAGACAAAAAACAAAATACATAATACATAACTATTAACATTATACTTCTACGCCCAAAGCCTGCCTGTACACTGTCGGACCATCAACTAAGGGTCTGTTGTTTTTAAGCCATTGGTTTAGTGTGCTGATCTTTTTCCTTTGATGTGCAAACAGGCAACACTTTCTGCAGTTTCAACCTGGTCTTCTATACAAGCACTTCGAAAAGCTTATCCAGTGTGACATGCGGCTCAATTTTTAAGTCGGCAGCCGGAGGTAGTTTTGGAATCACCATTGTTCGACACACGACCATCTATCTTTGAGGATCTAGAAGAACCCAAAGGCTGTGGATTTGATAATGGCACAAAAGATGAAGAATCAGGAATATCCGACTTGCTTGTTTCATCGGCAGCACAGTCATCCTCTGTGAAGACAGAGATACGGGAACGTGTTGGCATAACATCAGAACATGTGTCCAGAGAAGCTCCCTCTCCCAGTTCAGGTATATAGGAATTATATTTATTTGCATTTCATAGGTCATTATTCATTCACTGTTCCAAGAAAATATGAGTAGAGAATTGGTTGTAGAGGAAAAAGGCATATTCTATCTCCTGGATATTTCCTGACTTGCGGTAATCAATCACAATTGACTCGGAGGAATTTTTTCTCATGGGTCTTGCACCAGATGAGAAGTGACTTAAAACTAAATTGCAGTGCTTAAATTTAGTGGTTATATGCTGAAGGTGACTACTCTGATCCTTTTAGATTTTGTTTTTCCTTTGTAGTGATGGACATGGAGGATTTATTCTGGTAACCCCACGTTGACCTATATAACGGAAGTATACTTAGTATAAACTACTGGTGACCTAGGTATAATTATATCTTCATAACTATAATCGAAAAACATGAGAGCTCCAAAACGCCGCGACGGTGAGGGATCCAACCTACATATCTGAAAAATAAGGAGTGACCTAAGGCCCAGTAATTAAAATCTCTAAGTCTAAGGTAAAAGATTCACTCACCACTCAACCTGATATTAATAATAATTGTGAGTTCAAGGTAGTAAAGAATACATGAATAAATGTACTACCTTTCCAATCATGACATGTCAATGAAACAACAATAACATTGTATAAAATCAATCACTCATGTGTAAGCAGATTATATATTACAAATATCACATAACATCTCATCGATTCACACATATGAGTTCATATTCGTCACTGGCCAAGACCATCTTGATTTACGAGGCATCTCGACTAACGAGGTATCGTCACCACCAACTCATGGGGAACGGAAACATACATACCCATCATGTAACATCTTGTAGAGGATCGTCTCATACGGTAGAACATCTGGCTAACTCCAGAGTCTCGTATACATACTCGTACAAGGGAATTCACTCGGTGGCGAATAGGCCATGGCAAAGGTCTTAATCATGTAACATCAAAGACATACACAATAAATTACATCACAATAAATGCCACATATTTACATAATTATAAATGCAAACAACTACACGTTAATCTCTTGGCATTTCACATAATGTATAAGACAATTGATTAATTATGCACCTTTCAACATAAGGACTTTCTTTTTCTTTTCACTAAGCCAATATTATTTAGAAGAGAACTTTTGCAAGTTCTATAACATTAAACACTGCTACTCCATGGTCACCAAAAAAAACACTGCTACTCCATAATTGAGTAACTCATCTAATTTTCATTTTTTAACCACCCTTGATTAAGTTCACTTTTACCACATATAATAGAGATATTTCTATAATTTCTAATTCTTAGAATTAGAATATTATCCTCGTAAAATTTCTCATTTTATAATTTTACCCCTAATTTTTTATTTTTATTCCACCAAGCTATAATAATTAAATTGAAAATTAAATGCTATTAATATGCTATTTAAAACACACAAACATTTTATTTACACTATAGATACCACATATTTTACAAAATTTTCAAAACTACCCACTTTCAATTAATTATTACAAATTGCTCCAATTTTGCATAGTTAGACATATGTCCTAATTAAGCAATTATTTCAAAAAAAAAATAACTTAACCACTTATCAAAATGAGGTTCCACATTCTGTGAACAGTCCCCAGAACTTTCAGTTTTTACAAATTCGCCCCCCACAACTTGGTAAAATTACAAATTTGCCCATAAAGCTTATAAACTCATTTTTTTTGGTTAATACCACAAAAAACCCTAAACTGGTACACTTGTGACAAATTTACCCCAAACTATTTTTTTTACCACAAAAAACCCAAACTGGTACACATGTGACAATTTTACCTCGAACAATTTTTTTGACCACCAAAAACCCCAAATTGGTACACCTACAATAATTTTACCCCAAACTAATTTTTTAATATTATTTTTTATTTTTTTCGATTTTTATTTTTATTTTTTCTTTTCTTTTCTTTTTTTCCTTCATCTTCTTTATCTTCAACCTATGGCCGGCGAGGTCAGCCTTGCCGGCCGTTGGCGAGGTTGGCCTTGCCCACCCCTGGCGAGGTTCGACCTCGCCAGTTGCCGGCGAGGGGTCGTCCTTGCCGTTGCTGGCGAGGCTCAGCCCCACCGGCAATTGGCGAGGTCGGCTTTGCCCAGAAGCGGCAAGGTTGAGCCTTGCCAGCGACGGCGAGGACAACCCCTCGCCGACCGCTGGCGAGGCTGACCTCGCCGTTGCTGGGCGAGGCCGACCTCGCCGTTGCCAGGGGTGGGCAAGGTCGACCTCGCCAGTTGCCAGCGAGGTTGGCCCCGCTAGCCGCTGGCGAGGCCGACCTCGCCAGTTGTCGGCGAGGGGTCATCCTCGCCGTCGCTAGTGAGACTCAACCTCACCGCTTATGGGCGAGGCCGACCTCGCCAGTTACCGGTGGGGCCAAGCCTTGCCAGTGACGGCAAGGACGACCCCTCACTAGGGGTGGGCAAGGCTGACCTCACTGGCCCCCTCCTCTAGGTCACCGGACCCGGCGACCTACCATAGGTTGAAGATAAAGAAGATGAAGGAAAAAAAAAAGAAAAGGAAAGGAAAAAGAAAAGAAAAGAAAAAATAATAATAAATAAAAAATTAGCTCGAGGTAAAATTGTCGCAAGTGTACCAGTTTAGGGTTTTTGGTGGTCAAAAAAATAGTTCGGGGTAAAATTGTTACGGGTGTACCAGTTTAAGGTTTTTCGTGGTATTAACCCTTTTTTTTACCGGTTTGATTTCCTTTAATTAATATTACTTAATAACCCACTAATTAACATTAAAACTCATTAAATAACCCTGCTCACATCCCCCTTTCATTTCTGTAATTTCGAAATTGCCCCTTACCTTGACAATAAAAAATTACTAAAATACCCTTTTTATGCCTAGTTTCACCATTTTCACACTTTTCCCACTCAAAATGCAACAAAACCTTTTAGTAATCTCTCAAAGACCACCCAAGCATGTAAAAAGCTTTTTACTTCAAGCTCAACAATCACCATAGCTTAACATACAACTATTGAAACTTGCTCACACAGAGTAAAATCCAAACTAAATAAACAAGCAATCAATCAACCAAGCTCAAGAGTACTAAATAAATCATTGTAGCTTAGTCTTTAGAGTTTTCACTTACCCAAAGTGAAATCTTCAACAAAGCAAGCCTCTAACCACCTTGGAATCAAAATAGATACTAAAAAAAATTAACAAGTCTTATTCTTTAGAAAACAATAAAGCTTATTTGATAAAGAAAAAGGAAAGGGAAGTTTATCAATATACCTTGTCAAGAAACTAGATTGAAAGTGAGCTTGAACTTTGATTTTTTTTTTTTGTTGAAAGAGAGCGGAAAAAAGAAAAATTTGCAACTTGAAGAAGTGGAAGGAAGTGATGTTCACGCCCAAGAAGAAGAAGAGATGCTTTTTAGCCTCTTGTCTTCCAGAATTTTGCCACAATGAAGAGTAGTTTGGGGTCACATTAAATGGATTGGATTAAAAATAACAATACCAAATAACTAGAGTTATATTTAGATAATTAGTTACTAGAGTTAAAAAAAATGTAATATGTCATGCATGAGGTCATAGGCTTAGGTTCAATGCGTTTCAATTAAGGCATGTGGCAAAAATAAGGTGAGAGTTAAGACATTTGTCCATGTTAATATAGTGACAAATGGCATAGTTTAATTGAAAAGGGGGAGATATTAGGTTATTTTAGGTAGATACTATATATTGCGGTAAATAAACAGAGAAATCGATATTCGTTTACAATGCCAATAAATCAGAAAATTATTGTGAAATCGCTAAAATCATTAATAAAAAGTATAAAACAAAAGTGACATCTTAACTCAATAAAAATTTTAATGTTTGAAAATCATTCGATTATTTTGGAGCTTATCAGTCCTCGTTGACAATTACTAAATTAATTTTATTACCTTAATAACTCTCACTACTTAATATCTTAAATATCGTAAACTACGAAGAAAATTTCGGATGTCACAAGAGATGTAAAAAGATTTTTCTCTCTTTTGACGCCGTGACTGAAATATCGAGAATGCAGTGAATTATCTAGCACAATTATAGTGGTGATAACCTGCAACTTCTTTTTTGGTGGGGTGTCTAAACTAGAGGTCCGACGGTTGTGAAGCTTGAACTAAAGAACATACCAATCGAGTTATTTTAGGCACGCTAGATGGTTGTGAGGCTCGAACTAAAGAACATTCGAACCAAGTCGTTTTGGACATGCTACGAGAGGTAATCCGTTTAATCTCTACGATCTTTCGATTTTTGATTAAAACGCACGAACAACGTTTTTGGAAATACATGTATAGTTTTAATTTTTTGCTGTGTATATATTTAATTTTAACTATGTATGGTCGTAGAAAACCAAGACCTTAAGACGTGAAGCAGTTTAAGGAACTGATCAGGTCCCATGATTTTGAAGTATGGTCTTTGTTCCAAATGCACGCACTAGTGTCGATTTGGGATACCTTGTCGGGGAAGGTGTGTCGAAAAGCCACCTTGTCGGTGAAGGTATCCGAAATCGTTCCCGCGATCAACCTACAAAAGACACTTCACTTGGGAAGGATTTTTGGCACGCCCTCGTCAATCTCTCCTTCCAGTTTCGGCCAGTCATTGCAAGCCTCCTCCTCCTCCTCCTCCTCCTTGCTCTGCTTCTGGCTGTGCCAGCCCGGGGAAGATGGCGGCGACTTGGGGCTCTTCCCTTCTGGGTCTAGTTCCCTCCGAGCTCAAGATCGGGAAGGCCATTCGTTCTCTCCTCGAGTCTGCGAAGTTCGCTCTCTTCTACCTCTCTCTCCCTCTATCCTCCTGATATGATTCTTTTCTCTTGTTTTTTTTTTTTGCTTGCGACTGTGTTTCGATTCCTTCGTTTCGCCTGCGTATTCGGAAATTGTAAAGATGTTCGACCCGGAATAGGAAGAATGTAAGATTGCATCGGGATTGAAGTTAGACTGCTTCTTTGCTGCTGAAGAACTTTGGCATGTGCGTGATGAACCGCATTGTTTTGTTGTGCTAAAGGGTTATGTCCAAGATTGTTTTTCCAGTGCTGTCCGACAGAGTTGTGGATGGATGAAAAACGAAAGTCGTGCTACAAGAGAAGTACACTCGCTAATGATTACCTCTGTTGATGAATTGGTCGCACTGCGTCAAATTGCACGAATGAGCGTTGCTCATCGTTTTTCTGGTTGATGCAATTATTAGAGAATGGTCATGATACTTATAGCCGATGCATCATAGAGGAACAATGGGGCAAATTTGATGAAATTTGACTACACCCTTTTAACTTGGAGCTCTACCTGAAGGTCTTGCCAAGCGAAAACATGATCCGGACATGTTTGGAATGAGGCTGTGGGAAGAACTAACTAATTCCCAAAACATATGAAAGAAAGCATTTGATGAACTGAAATGTTGAACCGTTCACTTTCCATTTCTTTCTCTTCTCCCTTCTGCTAAATATGGTAAAGTATACTATCAGGCTTCGACCTTCATTTTTGTGAATTGCCAGTCTCTGTTTTGGTCAGTGATGTTTTAGTTCCTACAACAACAAACAGACCAAGCCTTATCCCACTAATAGTCTCGTTTGTCAAATAACAATTAAAGAAACACGTCCCCATATCCAAAAGCTGGTGTTCCATTTGCTATATTTTGCTATGATATATCTCCTACATGTGTTCGAACATGATTTCTCGCTGATTAGTTTTCGTTTGAACGAGCCTCTGGCAGAGCGCTTCTTCATTTGGCTCAGAGCAAAACTGGACGTGGTTTTTCGGATGTAGGGATCCGAGCATATTGTTGTCTAGTGGACTGGGGAGAGTTCGGCATGCCCTTCATCTGCTGCAAATGGAGCCAGTTATTAAGGTGCCATATTCTCGAATTGATGTATTGTGCGATCCTCTAGTAAATTGGTTTCTTTTCCAGGCCGGGTCATGGTTTAGTTTTGGATAAATAATGAGACTAAAACCTGAGCTAACCAAGAACAAGCAAATTAGATTTACCAATTTGATTACATTTTCGTGGAAATTAGCACATTCACACTATAGTACATCCTAATTCGAACTGTGGAGCTGAAGCTTGATCTTTTCTTCTTTATCATCCTTTGTCGTTATGCTAGAACAAATCCTTAACCGAGTTTTAACGGGAGGTTTATCTGTTTGTAGAGATTGGTTATCTCGTTAGTCTTGGAAAAAGCTTTCTGGAGCGCCATTATGAATAATCAGTCGGTCAAGAAGTTCCAGGAGTTGCTCCTCTCAGGTTAGTATGGACAACCAACACGAGTATATGCTAAGTTAGCATATTGCTTGGATCTTTTAACATCTTGTCGTCACCAAAAATGTTTACCATAGGAACACAAAAGGTATTTGGAACAGAAGAAAAAGTTAATTCGTTGCAGTCTTGAGATGCTTAGTAGTGTAGGAGATAAATGAGTCTTGTAAGTTCCTCTTTGTTGGTAAGTGGCACGACCCAGTGGCCAGTTAAGACTGCAGTCCAAATGGGTGCAAAAGGTGGGTAATTGGGGATGCATATCATTTTGATCTTTAGATAATTATGATCGAGGGAGGGCATAAGGGTCTTACGACCATTTGATCAGATTAAAGTGGAATAAGATCGGATAATGAGTTTAAGTTCATCTTCTGATCATGTCTGTCCAAAGAAGTATAGTAGTTGTTATATCAAGCGCAACCAAGATTGAGAAGTTAAGAAGTTTAAAAGTAGTGAATCGAAACTGATTTTATAGGAGTCAAATCTGCATGAATGTTTTGGAGCATATCTTGATTTTCTTAATCACCAACAGTAGCACATTTTGATTGTCTGCAACCTTTTCTTCGTGGGAAATAAAAAATTCTCAAAGTTGTTACCGTATGTTTTGCAGATAAAACAGAAAGCCCTCAGATTTATGAGGAAGTAGACTGGGGTACGAACGATCTGCAGAGGATCTTGGACATCTTGAAGGACAAAATCGTGGAACTGATTGAAAAATTCAAGCTTCTTTTGATCAAGATATTGCAACCTTCACAGCCGCCCAAGCCAAAAGCTATGGCTGACGGGTCGAGTTAGAGGAAAAAGTTGGATCGTCCTTGCTACTTTAGGTGCTAATCATCTTGGTTGTAGTGCTGGCATGAGTACGCGTTGCTTAATGATCAATCTATGTATCAATTCTACCCAGATTCGCGACATGGTGCACTTCGAGATGTGATAAAGGTGTACCGATTTGCTTTTGACCCTGAGTTCCCCTCAGTGCTTGTATATGAATGTGTGAACAGATCGCAAGAGGTAAAAGTGTTGCTGCTGCGCTTAATTTCAGTTTTCCCAAGAATTTCGCCATGGAACCTTTCTGATTAGGGACCTCACTACATATGAAGCGTGAGTCGAGAACTTACCGACAGCTAGAGATATGTACAGAAAATGCTGAATGTCTGTTGCATGAGCAGCGACATTTCCGGCACACTAGCAATAATAGTTCACTGTTTTTGTTCAAGAGGAGTGCCGTTTACCTGCTTTCCAACATTTCCTAGTAGTATATCTTAGCAAACAGCGATTCGAAATTTCGTGATCTTGTACATTCACGCCAATCTTTCGGCAACCATGTGTATGGTGTTTTAAGTCAATGCCGATGGTCAAGTTGGCAAGCGTTCTCCTTCCTGCTAAACACGTTAGTCCATGTTCTGCAAACACAGACAGAAATAATGCACATGGGTCGCTGTCCAACAATGCCGAGGGAAATTGAAACGAGTTGGTTTCTTCAAGTTCGCCTCGGCAACCACAGGGGTGTAAGTTTTGCAGTTCCAGGTCTCCCAGAGAACATGGACTGAACATCGCTAAGAAAAGAACCCAAGAGCCAGCGAGGGAGAGATGAACTTTGCTTGGCATTACCACTATCAGCGTCGAAGCGTTTCGAATCCCCAATGCTGCTACTGCTGCAGGTGATTGCCGGGTATTCGTTTGGTAGCAATGTGTACAATGCCAGGCGAATGCAAATATAATCAACACTTGCCATTTCACCCTGGAAAAACAACTTTAGCATCTACCCCAGAAAATGAGTACCGAACACTTCAAAAGATTGAAAGGCAAACACTACATTTTCTCATTAAAAGCACTTCAAGCCAATGCAATCTTGAGAAGGCAAGCCAATCCCAAACTCACTCCGCGCTGCCATGCGTCATGCGAAACACGGCTCAAAAGTGCCAAGAACCAGACTATCGACAGTCAACAACATGACGGTATTCGACAATATTATCCATTTGAGCATTCCTGTATTGCTTGGGGCCACAAAAATAGATAGCTAAGATATGGGCAGAACAGGATGACTTGATACTCAAGTGAGACTTGGAGCATCCATTTCTAGAGTGGAGGGAAAAATAACTCCAAGCGATCCATGTTGTCTCCAAGTAAGAGTTCATCAGAATCAGTTATCAAGGCTGCAACAAGGTAATGACAACCTCAGCAGATATTAGACCACTATGACAAAAATCAGAAAGTTACATCACGCATCTGAAGATCAAAGGTTCAAGACATCCACAATTTTGGGCCCATTCATTCACGTTCTGCAGCAGAACCTTGGGTTGCAAGCTTCTGAATGCGTGATGAAAATTCCTCAGCCTGCAAATAGTAAAGAGAGATCAGTCTTCTTACTTAGGAGAAAAAAAACTTTACCACTTGCGTATTCTTCAACAATCAAAAAGAACCATGCAATAGAAAAGCAGGAGGACCCGCAGCAAGAGGAGGCACAAAGACAGATTTTTACTTCACACACACACATATATAGAGAGAGAGAGAGGGTTAATATCACGAAAAATCCCAAATTGATACATTTGTGATAAATTTACTCAAAACTAATTTTTTAACCACCAAAAATCCAAACTGGTACACCCGTGATAAATTTACCCTATGTTAGTTTCCGTTAAATTTTATCGTCAAATTGCCGAGTTAAATAACACGTGACAATTGACGGATGTATCAGTTTGGGGTTTTACATGCAGTTTGTGATTTTTCGTGGTATTCATCCAATTTAACGGAAGGTAAATTTGATACAAATATACTAGTTTGGGGTTTTTTGTGGTAAAAAAAATAGTTTTGGGTAAATTTGTTACAAGGTGTACCGATTTGGAGTTTTTTTATGATTAAAAAATTAATTTATGGTAAATTTGTTACAAGTGTACCGGTTTGGGGTTTTTGTGGTATTAACCCATTTATATAAAGCGGGGCCTAATACCTAAAAACCTCAAACTTTAGCCTTTGTCCCAATTTTACCCTTTGTCTCATAAAAAACCTCCAACTTTAGGTCATGTCCCAATTTTACCATAAACTTTTTTGTTCCATAAAAAACCCTCAACTTTAGATCTTGTCCCAATTCTACCATAAAAATTTTTTTGTTTTATGAAAAACCCCTAACTTTAGGTTTCGTCCCAATTTTACCCTAAAATTTTTACAGTCTTAAAAAAAACCACAAATTTTTACTTGAGTCACAAGTATGCCCACATTAACCCTCATTCCAAAATTTCTCGTTGGAAACCAGAGATGGAAAACTCCTGAGCACAAGCTGTTTAAGTGTCCCGAGCACGAGTTGTTCGAGCTTCTCGGGTGCTAGAGATGGAACATTCCCAAGCATGAGATAACAACGAGCACAAAATCGCTAAGGGCGATTTTGACGAAGGGTTAATTGAGAGCAAATTTGGGACTCAAGTAAAAGTTAATGATCTTTTATAAGACAAAAAAATAATTAAAGTGAAATTAAAACTTGACCTAAAACTGAGAATTTTTACGAGATAAATAAAAAGTTTAGGGTAGAATTGGTACCGAACCCAAAATTAAGGGTTTTTTATGATACAAAAAAGATTTAGGGTAGAATTGGGACTATATCTAAAGTTGTAGGTTTTTTTTAGGACAAAAAAAATTTTAAGGTAAAATTGAGACATGACCTAAAGTTGGAGGTTTTTTATGAAACAAAAAGTAAAATTGGGATAAAAGTTAAAGTTTGAGGTTTTTTTGGGTATTAGGCCTATAAACTAATGTAGATGGTACAAGCACTAATTTGTGTTGGGTTGTGATTCATACTCCCCTCCGACAGGAAGGCAGAGGGGTCCTCCTCCCTGGTGAGCGGGCGGGGTTCCGGTTTAGTTTCAGCAAAGAAAAGAATTAATTTACTGGTTTATTATTCAATAACTTTTGTCTTACAAACTCCAATGAAATATAGATTTTAGATAAAAAGGTACGATCCTCAGTTTTAATTATTAGTAAAAAATTACATTTAATATGACACTACTAAAAAATATCCACGTACTCTATAGTGAAAAAATAAATTGAATTTGCGAAGAAGCTAATGCTATTCTAATTTCTCTAATTTACGTCTATATAATAATCAAAACCTGCTTTGAGTGTTTTAATAAAATGTATATTTTATCTAACATAACTCTATATTGGCAAGAAGTTTGAGAACAAAACTCATACAAAGGTTATATAGAAATTGCAATCATTGCTAATAATATTTTCATCCGGGCAATTACAAAACTGGTCTCCGCACTACTCCACTCTTCAATCTTGGCCCTCGTACTTTATTTTGTGACTAATTGGGTTCCTAAACTAATCTCCGGTCACAATTTTAAGATAAATTTAATATGTCCGTCCAAATATTGATGGAAAATGAGAGTAAGGATCGTAGATATGCACGTGGAGCTAACGTGGAATAAAAAATAAAAAATTAATTGAGGAGAAATTACAAAAATGGTCAATATGCCATTGTCGACATTCAAAGTTTGGTCCCCTCACTTTATTTTGTGATGGATTTGGTCCCTAATCTAATTTCTTATGTCGATTTCAAGTTATTTCCCCTCCAAATGCATGCATAATTTGGTGGTTAAGTGTTCAATCGGTATGATAGTACATGTGAATTTGAAGAATTGGTCGAGAACAATTCATATATGCAGAGAAACTTGCACATGTGGTTCTAGCCGGGCTAGTCTTAGGTTTCTAATAGGCCGGTGCTTGTTGCCAGCATGCATGTCCAAGTCTACATGGGCTAAATCCGTCAGGAGCATGTCTCTAAGTGCTAATCATTGAGGGAGAACCTGTTCATCAATTGTTGCACTAATTTTGACTTGTAGACACCCTAGGTTAATTTTTAGCACTAGGGTAACATTATTTGTTTGCACTTTGATGGAAAAGTACGAAAATTAACTTAAATTAAGACCGAAGATTATTTCAACTGGAAATTAATTTAGGGACTAAATCCGTCGCAAAATAAAGTAGGTTGATCAAACTTGAATAGTATCTTAAAGAGGACTTTCAAAGATTTTTAAGCAAAGAAGTTTCCTTTTGAAAGATTCGAAAGGAAAGCTCAAATAAGCAAGCCAATCCTTAAGTATTGCAAAGTAGATGAATGATTCTATACATGTCTCATAGGAAAATTACCGAAAATACCTTAAAAACTATTATACGAATGTCAATTCGATTCTAAATATTTTCATTTGGACAATTCAGTCCTAAAGGTTTTGATAGATTTACCAATATAGTCATTCCGATCAATTTTGGCCATTTATCACCGACGTGGACGCTGGGCTAAACGTTTTGATAGATTTACCAATATAGTCATTCTAATCAATTCTGGCCATATATCACCGACGTGACGGGCGTTGATAATTTTGATAATTTTTTTTTTTTTTCCACTTTTCTTTTCTTTCTTTTTTTGTTTTTTTTTTCTCTTATCTCTCTCCGGCGGGCCATGGCCTCGGCGGTGGTAGTTGGGCCCTCGCCTAACCCAAATCTAGCAAGTGCACTACGAACCTCACCTGGCCCAGATCTAGCGAGGGCGTTGCAATCCTCACCAAATCTGGGTGAGGGGCCATAAGCCCTCGCTGTGGCCGGTGAAGGCTTCGGGCAAGGGTCGCAACGTACTTGCCGGCCACACTAAAAAAAAAAAGAGAAAAAAAAAGAATAGGAAAAAATAAAAATATATTTAAAAAATTATAAAAATTGTCCCGTCAATGTCGGACCATGCCATGTAGGATGATCGGTGTCCACATTAGCAATTCATAGTCAAAAATTGGCCGTAATAATTATATTGGCAAACCATAAAAAGGTATAAAACTAAATTATCCAAATTGAAGAGTTTATAATTGAATTAATATCCGTACAATATATTTAACCTTACCGGGCAGTGGGGGGCCAACTTTGGCTACTTCAAGAGAAAAAGAAATGTTGGGGGCGGATATGATCACAAATGCAAGCTGGCACCATTATGACGGCGAGGCTGTGGTTGATATGGGTGGAGGGAGGCGGCGAAGCGGGGAAAGAAGATGTAGGGGCAAATGGGTGTACGGTGTCGATGGGGTTCGGGTTTTTTATAATTGAAGTGCAGTTTCTCATTTGTATGGATGTATATGTAGGTGATGAATGTGAATTGAGCAAATGCAAAGGCCTTTAGATTAAAAAGGTTTTTTTTAAATGTAAATAGTATTTAGTAAACGGTCGTGCTTTTTCCACTCCTCTTATGGCTTAGACACTCCCTTTTTTGTTGTTTTGACCATCTTATCTCTTGTGGGGCCCACTATTTATGGTACAATTTTATATAATTTTTATTATTATTTGGTCAACTGTTTTTATTTTGTTTCTTCTTATTTTTTTCATATGGGTCTTACTTTTCTTCTTCTTCTTCTTTTTACGCTTTCCACTCATCTCTCTGTTCTCTCTTGCACGCTTTCCACGCCTCCCCCTCCTCTTTCTTCTTCCACAAACCCGTCGTCCTTTGTTTATTACCTATGATGCCAAACCCATCATCCTCTACACTTTCGCCGGCAGCGGCATTGGGCTCATTGGTGATCTCCCCAACGAGTGCCTTTTCTCCGCACGCAGGCTCTTCTTGCACCATGGAAGGTGATTTTTTTTTGTGATATTGAGAAGCACCGCTTCTGTCTCTTCCCTTTTTTTAAATTATATATTTTTGTCTCTTCTTGCACATGTGAGAGTGTAGAGAAAGAAAACATGTGTAGACATAAAAGTCGAGGGCAATAAGTGAGTTGTGTTCTTTTAGATGATATGAAGCCAGATTCGAATTAGTGGTTTGATTTGATTGCAATTTTCAGCATTGTGTTCAGAGTGTTGAAAAAAAATTATGCTTTCATAGATTAATTTCGTGGAACATAGTGCTACAATGTTGCGTTGGTTCTTTCAATTGTGTTGCAGCTGTTGCTTTTAGCCCTAGACTATAGTTGTGTGCAGAATTGAACTTGATTTCTCAACAACCATTTCGAAATTGCGCATTTGTTGGAATTCATCATTTATACTTGTTTAACCCATTGTTTTACTCACTCATACACTGTTGGTAATTAAATATTGTGTTATAATGGGTAGGTGTAGATAGTTTGCCATTATAATACTAAGAAAAGAGTTTCTATTTTAATTGGGCATCCACTTGATTCTCTACAGATAATATTCGAGAGGACCCAAATTGCTTGAATGCATCTATTGATGATGAAAATGTGAATGGAGAAGAGCAATCGATCATATTAACAAGTTCATTTGAAACTTTATCCGGTAATTTTCTAACTCGAGAAGATCTTTTGAGAAGTGTGCGAAGCCATCTTCTTGCTCAAGGTTATGTCATCTCTATTAAAAGGTCAAAGAGAGACAAATATGTTCTTCTTAGGTGCGACAGGGGAGGTAGTTATCGTGATCGACATAATATTTATGTTGCGAGTCAAAGACGAAAGACCGGATCCCGTTTGATTAACTGTCCTTTTGACGTCTGTGGCTATAAAAAGAAGAATGGATCATGGTCACTCAAAGTAGTGAATGCATCACATAATCATGATCCTTCAAGTGATATGTCAGGACATCCTACTTGTCGTCGATTCTCTAAAGTTGAAGCTTTGCGGGTAAAAGAGATGTCTAAGGCCGGTATACCTCCTCGCCAAATTCTTTCTTCCTTGAGACAAAGTAATCCCAATGTTCAAGCTATTGCTAAAACTGTTTATAACATGAAAGCGAAATTCTGCCGTGAATATCTGAATGGTCGCACTATGATTCAAGCTTTAATGGATGAGCTTAGTATAGGTGGATTCATCTACAATTTTAAACATGATGCTGAGGGTCACTTGACGCATTTATTTTTCTCACATCCTATCTCCATGGCACTAACGAAGAGTTTCTCAAGTGTCTTTGTAATGGACTGTACTTACAAGACTAATAGATACAAAATGCCTTTGTTGGATATTATTGGAGTTTCCTGCTTTAATACATCTTTCTACTCATGCTTTGTCTTTTTGAGAAAGGAGGAAGAGGAAGATTATGTTTGGGCTTTGACAATGTTTAGCAACATATTGGGTGTTGATTGTCAACCTTCAGCTATTGTCACTGATAGGGAGTTGGCATTGATGAATGCAGTTCGAATCGTTTTTCCTAAAAGTGCGAATTTGTTGTGTGTTTGGCACATTGAGAAAAATATTGTGGCAAAATGTAAACCTCAGTTCGAAGAAGGAACACATTGGGATTCTTTTATGTCTGATTGGTCCAAGGTTTTGAACTCCAAGACTGAAGCAGAATATGATGAAAATATTCGGCAATTTGAATATAGTTGTATGGAAAAGCCATCAGTTGTTAACTACATAAAAAATACATGGCTTCCTTTCAAGGAGCTTTTTGTGACAGCTTGGACAGACTTGCACATGCATTTTGGAAACCGGGTTACTTCAAGAGCTGAAGGGGCACATTCGACTTTGAAAGCATATCTACAAGTTTCAACAGGGGATTTAGTTGAGGTGAAAAAGAAGATATGCCTTGCAGTTGAGAATCAATTTCAAGAAATCAAAAGCAAATTGTCAAGCGAAAAGGTAAGAGTTCCTCATCATCTTCATATTCCTCTTTTCAGGAACTTGATTACCCGTGTGTCAGTATTTACTTTAGACAAGCTTTACAAGCAAACTGAGATTGCTAAAAGTAGGGTTGAACTACCTCCTTGTACCGGGCATTTTGTGCAATCCATGGGACTTCCATGTGCGCATGAGATAAGATTTAGGTTTTCCGATGGTTTACCTCTTGATATAATTAATCTACGATGGAGGCTCGATACAAGGTCCTTTTTGGACGGTGATATTACTCAAAATTATGAAGAAGATTCATTCAAGCAACTACTTCATGAGTTGGAAAGGAAGTATCAAGAATGGCCGCTTTCCAAAAAGGAAATTGTTCGAAAGCAAATTGAGCATTTTATTCGAGCAAGTGATACTATCTTATATGAGCCCCAAATTACATCTCATAAAGGTCGTCCTTCTAGTTCAAAAACTAAAGGAGAAGCAACTTCTACAAAACGTGATCCTTCGGCATTTGAGATTATTGAAAAGAGGAAGAGATGTGGTACTTGTAAATGTTATGGTCATAATAGTCGGACATGTAAATCGAAAGGTGAAGATCTCGGATCAAACACACAGTCAAGAACCATTGGAATTCATGGTGATGAAATATAGGCACAATGAATTTTCTTGAGGGGAGCCAAGCAGCTGAGTGGACAATATTTTTTGTTAAGTTGCATACGCAACTTGTTACTTTTCTTTATTTGTTTTATGGAAATTTTCATGTATTTAGAATTGATGTTTTGGTGTAAGATTTTGCTCCTCTTTTTGTGCTTTTTCCAGTGACTTGCAGAAAGCTTTCAACTTATCTTTGCATTTGAATGTTTTGTAAGAAAAAAGTTATGACTTTGGGTTTTCATATCTAGGTCGATTACATTAAAACCTCATTGTTAACTATGACAATGAGATCAACAAAAAATACCATTCTTCAGGTTTCGGCTACAAGCATCTTTAGATTTTCAAAGATGGAACGAACACCAAATCATGATTAGTATCTAGATAAAGGAGAAAATCAAGAAATATGAGAGACAAAAGCTCTCAAGAACATGCACTATATAGATGACAAATTAAATCAGTTTGTTGGAGCCTTCCCATAGATACTAGATATGTTTGTCAACGACCATGAACTCGGCTGTTAATAGCTATAAAAGGAGCACGGGTTTTCTCTGCCAGTAATGGGGAAAACTGCGTTAGAGAAAACACCAAAAAAACCCAAAAGAAATATGATTTTCAATTCTAATATGAACTAGGCGATCAATTGCAAATACATTTGATGGTAGCAAGCTACAAAACTCCCTTCAAGTTTACAGAGCAAACTGTGAGGCAAAAGAGATTTGTAGGAAAAAGAAGAACAAGAAGGAATGGGAGGCGTAGAAAGCGCGCAAGAGAGAACAGAGAGAGAGAGGAGTGGGAGGAGTGAAAAGAAAGAAAAAGGAAAGTGAGACCCATATGGAAAAAAAAAAAAAGAGAAACAAAATAAATAGAATTGACCAAATAATAAAAAAGGATTATGTAAAATTGTACCAAAAGTAGTGGGCCCCATAAAGGATAGGACGGTCAAAATAACAAAAAAAGGAGTGCCTTAGCTACAGTGGGAGTGGAAAAAGCGCGGCCCTTTAGTAAATCGTAATTTTAAAATATATTGAGAAACAACTTTGATTTGAATGATGTCCGGAAAAGTCACACTATGCAAATCACTTTTACTATTTTTTTTATAAAAAAACTCAAAACCGGCAAAGAATTAGGTAGCGCATGATAACCATTCTGGTTCTATCCAGAATTAGTTTTCTGTTCCCAGAATTAGCTTTAGATCAGAAACCCGTTTGGTAACGCAATTCCATTTTTCTATTTCTGGAACAACTTTTTGTTCCAGAACCGATTCTGAACCAGAAATCCGAACAAAAAAAAAGTAGGTTTTCTATTTCTAGACCAAAAATGAGAATCATTTCTGAGAGAACTATTTCTTCAAAACACATGTTCATCTGGAAGTCACGATCTTTGAGGTGAGAAAAAAAAAGCAAAAAATCAAAAATTTCAAAATTTCATAGAATGGTTTAGAATATGTGACTACCCACTTTAAGCGAAATTTAAATTTTTTTAGGTGCCGAAAAAAATATAAAAAATAAAAAATAAAAAATTTCACAAAATGGCTTAAAATACCTATGGCCACCAACTTTGAGCAAAATTTAATTTTTTCTAGATGCCAAAAAAAATAAAAAAATAATCAAAAAATCTAAAATTTAAAAACTTCACAGAATGTCTTAGAATACCTGTGGCCACCCAATTTGAGCGAAATTTAATTTTTTTTAGGTGCCGAAAAAAATTCAAAAAAGCAAAAAATAAAAAACTTCAAAACTTCACAGAATGGCTTAGAATACATGTGGCCATCCACTTTGAGCGAAATTTAAATTTTTTTAGGTGTCGAAAAAAATAAAAATAAAAAATTTCAAAACTTCACAGAATGGCTTAGAATACCCATGGCCACCCACTTTGAGCGAAATTTAATTTTTTTTAGATGCCAAAAAAATAAAAATAACCAAAAAAGCAAAAATTTTAAAACTTCACAGAATGGCTTAAAATACCTGTGGCCACCCACTTTGAGCGAAATTTTATTTTTTTTAGGTGCCTAAAAAAATTTAAAAAAGTAAAAAAGAAAAAATTTTAAAACTTCACAGAATGGCTTAGAATACCTGTGGCCATCCACTTTGAGCGAAATTTAAATTTTTTAGGTGCCGACAAAAATAAAAAAATAAAAATTTTAAAACTTCACTGAGAATTTTATTAGAATACCTAAAATAATAAAAACAAAAGCACCCTTTTTGAGCGAAATTTAATTTTTTTTAGATGCCAAAAAATTAAAAGCAAAAATTTCAAAACTTCATAGAATGGCTTAAAATACCCGAATAAAACCCACTTTGAAAAAATTTTATTTTTTTAGGTTCCTAAAAAATAAAAAATAAAAAAAAGCAAAATTTTAAAACTTCAAAAATTCTTAGAATACCCAAAATTGAAAAATTCGAAATCCACTTTCAAAATGTCGAAATATAAATTTTTTTTAGGTGCCGAAAAAAATAAAAAATAAAAAAATTTCAAAACTTCACGAATTGTTTAGAATACCTTGGCCACCCACTTTAGTGAAATTTAATTTTTTATGTGTCGAAAAATAAAAATAAGCAAAAAAGCAAAAATTTCAAAACTTCACCGAATTTTTTTAAAACACGTGCCACCAACTTTCAAATGAAATTTTTTTTAAGGTGCCCAAAAAAAGAAAAAAAAATCAAAAATCAAAAATTTCAAAACTTCACAGAATGGCTTAGAATACATATGGCCATCCACTTTGAGTGAAATTTAAATTTTTTTAGGTGCCGAAAAAATTAAAAATTAAAAAATCAAAAATACCATTTGGGCACCTAAAAAATTAAATTTCACCCAAAGTGGTATTTTTAGGCATTCTTTTGTTCAAAGTCATTTCTCGTGAAGTTTTAAATTTTTTGATTTTTTTGTTTTTTTTTTTTTTCGACACCTAAAAAAATTTAAATTTCACTCAAAGTGGTGGCCACGCAGTATTCTAAGTCATTATGTGAAGTTTTTTTTTTTTTTGAAAAAATTTATGATTTTTTTGCCTTTTAGTTAAATTTTTCTTTTTTTTTTTCGACCTCAAAAATTAAAATTTCACTCAAAGTGGATGGCCACGGGTATTGTAAGTTATTAAAATTTTGAAATTTTTGAGTTTTTGAATTTTTTTAGGCACCTAAAAAAATTTTAAATTTCACTCAAAGTGGGTGGCCATGTATTCTAAACTATTCTATGAAGTTTTAAAATTTTGATTTTTTTTTTTTGCACCTAAAAAATTTAAATTTCACTAAAAGTGGATGGCCACAAGTATTTTAAGCCATTCTATGAAGTTTTGAAATTTTTGATTTTGTGATTTTTTTTTTGAAAAAATTCAACAAATTTCCTATTTTCCCAAATCTGAATTTTTTATTTTTGGAAATTGTGATGAATTTTTCTAGAATTTTTCAATTTTTTTGGAATTTTTGAATTTGTTTGAGATTTTTAGGAATTTTTTGGATTTTCTAATTATTTTTATTCCATTTCTAAAAAACATGGATTTTTGTTCCAGGAAATAGAATTTTGTATTGTTTATCAAACGGGTTTTTTTTTCACCTCAAAGATAGAAATTTTGTTATGTTATCAAACCAAATGGTTCTCACTTTTGTTCGTAAATGAAAAACCAACTTTTTTTGTTCGTTATCAAACGGGTTTGCTTTTTTTCGAAGCAACTTGTCCCGAAATAAAAAAAAAATCTATTTCCGTTTTTGCCAACTCATGGAACAACAGAATTGGTTATCATTCGCTACTTTCGTTAGTGACCAACCAACGAGGCCAAATCTGGTTGCCAGCAAACTAGATCTGGCAAGGAAAGCCTTGCCTATGTTGCGCCCCAAGTGATGCGGCCTAAGGTCGTAGGACCCCAAGCGGCGATCGCGTGGGTCGTGCTAACCAAGTGACGACTAATTGGGTTTGAGCAATCTAGGTGAGCATCACCTAGGTCGCGCAACCCCTCGCCTAGGGTCAAGCAACCATTGGTGACCGTCAGCCGATCCTGCGCAACTCTCGATGGAGCTTCACCTACGTAAAGAAGATGAATAGAGCTTACAAGGGCAAAATCGGAAATCAAAAAAATTGATGATGGCAATTTTGGAAGAAATTTTTTTTACTAACCCTAAAGTGAGCTTTCCGAAAATTCTGAAAGCCCAAATTAGGTAGGGACTTGCCTTGGGCTTTCAACTTTCATAAGGTTAGCATTTGGCTTAAGGGTTGGGCGAAAAATTTGTCAAACACTCGTAATTTTTACTCAAGGGGCTTGACGCCCTTTGGAAAAGTGATTCCCAAATGGTCGAGCCTATTTCCTTCATATTATTAAGTTTTTATTCAAGTAATTTTTATGTTTAAGCTATTTCAATAAGTTTTCATTGTGGTAAGTAACTTCTATTTATCAATTTCCCCATCTTCTATCTTTTTTTTTTCTTTTAATATTAAGCCGAGCTTCAAAGTTTCAGTTAAGAGAGAGATATTAAATGGAAAGGATAATGACACAAACAGTTCTTAAACTTTGGTATAACATGTAATGTGGTCTTTTAACTTTTGCCTAATATTCAATATGGTACCTAGACTTTTAATTTATTTAATGTGGTTCCTGACTTTTGGTATATGTTTAAAGTAGTCCCCGAACTTGAATTAATAAAAAGATTACATTGAATATTTTTATGTAGTTCAAAAACTAAATTAAATATGTACTAAAAATTTATAAATGATAATAAATAAATTAAAAATTTAGGTATTAGGTTATAGTTCAACCATAGATAAAATTCGGAAACTGTTTCTGTCGTTTTCCTAAGCAGAATCTCTGAATCAGTCAAGGTCAAAGTGGAGCGGAACTCAAGTGGAATGATATTCCCCACTACGGTGAAGTGGGACAGGTGGTCATCACCTTCCCCAACAAGCTATCAGAAATGATTCCATCCATCCCTCCCAAAACTTTACTCCATCTCCTCCGGACATCTTCCTTCCTTCACCATCTTCTCCCTCAGGAAGCATCGATAATAACAACCTTCCAGTTTCAGCCCGCCATTGCAAGCCTCCTCCTTGCTCTGCTTCTGGCTGTGCCAGCCCAGGGAAGATGGCGGCGGCGACTTTGGGCTCTTCCTTTCTGGGTCTGCTTCCCTCCGAGCTTGAGATCGAGAAGGCCATTCGTGCTCTCCTCGAGTCTGTGAATTTCTCTCTCTCTCTCTCTCTCTCTCTCTCTCTCTCTCTCTCTCTCTCCTCCTGATATGATTTTTCTTTTTTACTTGCGACTTAGGAAGAATTAAGATTGCATTGGGATTGAAGTAAGACTGCTTCTCTGTTGCTGAAGAACTTTGGCTTGTGCGGATGAACCACATTGATTTGTTCTGCTAAAGGTTATATCCAAGATTGTTTTTTCAGTGATGTCCCAGGCTTTGACAGAGTTATAGGATGGATGAAAAGGAAAGTCGTGCTAAAAGAGAAATACACTCGCTAAAGGTGTATCGAATTCTTTGCAATTTAGCCTCCTACGAGTTTGATGAGCCAACAACTAATCCATAACGGCTACCTCTTTTGATAAGTTGGTCACACTGCATCGAATTAGGCAAATGGGCGTCGATTCTTGTAGCCGATGCATCATAGAGGAACAAAGGGGCAAATTCGATGAAATTTGACTACACCTTTTAGCATGGAGCCCTGCCTGAAGGTCTTGCCAAGCGAAAACATGATCCGGTCATGTTTGGAATGAGGCTGAGGGACGAAATAACTAATTCCCAAATCATATGAAAGAAAGCATTTGATGAACTGAAATGCCGAGCCGTCCACTTTCCATTTCTTCCTCTTCTCCCTTCTGCTAAATATGGTGAAGTATACTATCAGGCTTCGAGCTTCTTTTTTGTGAATTGCCAGTCTGTGTTTTGGTTCCTACAACATCAACAACAAGTCAAGCCTTATCCCACTAATAGACTCGTTTGTCAAATAACAATTAAAGAAGCACGTTGCCATATCCAAAAGCTGGTGTTCCATTTGCTATATTTTGCTATGATATATCTCCCACAAAATTTCATACATGATTTCTTTCTGATTAGTTTTCGGTTGAACCAGCCTGTGGCAGAGCGCTTCTTCATCTGGCTCGGATCAAAACTGGATGCGGCTTTTTGGATGTAGGGATCCGAGTGCGAGCATACTGTTGTCTAGTGGATGGGGGAGAGTTCGGCATGCCCTTCATCTGCTGCAAACGGAGCCAGCTATTAAGGTGCCATATTCTCGAATTGATGTGTTGTGCGTTCCTCTAGTCAAATTGGTTTCTTTTCCGGGCTGGATCATGGTTTAGTTCTGGATAAATAATGAGACTAAAACCTGAGCTAACCAAGAAGAAGCAAATTAGATTTACCAATTTGATTACATTTTCATGGAAATTAGCACATTCACACTATAGTATGTATTAGAATTGTGAAATACATCCTGATTTGTACTATGGCTCAAGCTGAAGCTTGATCTTTTCTTCTTTATCATCCTTGGTCGTAACAAATCCTTAACGGAGTTTTAACGGGAGGTTTATCTGTTTGTAGAGATTGGTTATATCGGTAGTCTTGGATAAAGCTTTCTGGAGCGCCATTATGAATAATCAGTCGGTCCAGCAGTTCCAGGAGTTGCTTCTCTCAGGTTCGTATGTGCTTAACCAAAACAAGATTATTGCTTCACTGGACTCAACTTAGCATATTGCTTGTATCTTTTGACACCTTGTCCTCACCGAAAATGTTGTTTACCATAGCAAAACGGTGGTATTCAGAGCAGAAGAAAAAGTTACTTCATTGCATTCTCGAGATGCTTAGTCGTGTGGGAGATAAACGAGTCTTGCAAGTTCCTCTTTATTGGTAAGTGGCACGACACAGTGGCCAGTTAAGACTGCTGTCCAAATGGGTGCAAAAGGTGAGTAATTAAGGATGCATATCAGTTTGATCTTAAGATAAATATGATCGAGGGAGGGCATAAGGGTCTTACGACCTTTTGATCAGATTAAAGTGGAATAGGATCGGATAACGAGTTAAAGTTCATCTTCTGCTCGTGTTTGTCCAAAGAAGTATCGTAGTTGTTATATCAAGCGCGACCAAGATTGAGAAGTTAAAAGTAGCGAATCGAAACTGCTTTTATAGGAGTCAAATCTGCATGAATGTTTTGGAGCATATCTTGATTTTCTTAATCACGAACAGTAGCGTATTTTGATTGTCTGCAACCTTTTCTTGGTGGGAAATAAAAAAATTCTCAAAACTGTTACCGTATGTTTTGCAGATAAAACAGAAAGCCCCCAGATTTGTGAGGAAGTAGACTGGGGTACGAACGATCTGTGGTGGCTCTTGGACATCTTGAAGGACAAAATCATGGACCTCGTTGAAAAATTCAAGCTGCTTTTGATCGAGACATTGCAACCTTCCCAGCCACACAAGAAAGAAGCTACGGCCGAGTTAGAGGAAAAAGTTGGATCGCCAAGTGAAGTTTTCAGTGATGGAGAGCATCGGCTGGGAGCAAAGAAATCTCAGCATATGGGGGACTCAAGATAAAGAACAAGAAAGCGACGCGGGCTCTCCCTCTTGAGCGCAGATCTGAGCTCGGCGGAGGCGGAGGGGCTCGGGATCCAGCAGCCGAGAGGGAGGGGCTCTTGGGGGAGGCGATGTGCCAGATGCAGATCCGAGCTCGCAGCGACGCGGGGCTCTCCGTCTTGGGCGCAGATCTGAGCTCGGAGCGACCGGCGGGGCTCTTGGGAGAGGCGGAGGCGGAGGCGGAGGCGGAGGCGGTGGAGAAAGAGAGAGAGAGAGTGTTTTGGCTGTTCTTCCCCAGGAGTGCAGGTAAAGAAGGGCCTTGGAAATTGAAAAGAGGAGAGAGAGAGGGGATGTTTTAGGCGGGAACTTAATTTTTCAGCTCTGTCCCCACATAGAGAAAAGAAAGCCTTTTTTTTAATTTTTCAGCAAGTCCAACTTAGCGCCACGTGTCTCCCGTTGAGTGGAGCCAACTAAGCTCATGCGCGCCACGTAGGCGGATGACCTGGCGTGCGCTAACCACTGAATATTTTCTCCTCGCAGAGGGAGTGCCGGAGCTTCACGGCCTTGGCGAGGCCGATGTCGGCGTTGTGGACGAGGATGGGCTCGAGGTGAGCCCAGTACCACGAGCCCTTCCCCTTGACGGCCTTTGACCATAGCATGACAAGCCCCTCGTAGCGCCTGTTCACGGCCCCGGCCGTCAGCTCGTCGGCCGATGCCGACATCGAGACCGAGTCCACCTGGGCCGGCGACGGCGGCTCCGAGCTGTTTGTGGTGGCCGCCATTAACCAAACAGGTCGTTCAAGTTCCGGTCCTCGCTTTTTTGTTGTTAGAGCGGGTTCAGTCGCCGGAAGTTCGGTCTCCGGCGAGTGTCCATGGCCGACTCCGGTGATCTGGTGGGGCCTTTTGGTGGTGGGTCATCAATTGACTTGCTTCTTGACGGGAAGAAGAAAGAAGAAGCAGTCTCACAGAGAAGGGAAGAGAGAGAGCGGAAGAAGAAGACGAGGAGGACGGGAAGAAGTGCAAAAAAAGATAAAAAAGAAAAATCGAAAACCGAACCGAACCACGTTTTCGGTTCGGATCATATTTGGTTCGTGTGGTGTTTTGGTTCGGATCAAGCACACGTCTAAACGGTTCGGTTCGGTTCGGTTTTCCTAGACACCCAAACCGAACCGAACCATTGACACCCTTACTTGCCGGCCACAGAAAAAATAAAAAGAATAGGAAAAAATAAAAAAATATATTAAGAAATTATAAAAATTGTCCCGTCAATGTCGGACCATGCAATGTAAAATTATCGGTGTCCACATCAGCAGTTCATAGTCAAAATTGACTGGAATAATTATATTGACAAACCATAAAAAATTATAAAATTAAAATGTTCAAATTAAAAAGTTTATAACTAAATTGGTATACAAATAACATATTTGACTTTACCGGGTGGTGGGGGGCCAACTTTGGCTACTTCAAGAGAAAATGAAATGTTGGAGGCGGATATGATCGCATATGCAAGCTGGCACCATTATGACGGCGAGGCCGTGGTTGATATGGGTGGAGGGAGGTGGCAAAGCGGGGAAAGAAGATGTAGAGGCAAATGGGTGTATGGTGTCGATGGGGTTCGGGTTTTTTTATAATTCGAGTGCAGTTTCTCATTTTGGATGGATGTATACTTAGGTGATGAATGTGAATTGAGAAAATGCAAAGGCCTTTAAGTTAAAGGGATATTTTTTTAGATGCAAATAGTATTTAGTAAATCGTAATTTTAAAGTATACTGAGAAACAACTTTGGTTTAAACGATGTCCGGAAAAGTCACACCATGTAAATCACTTTTACTATTTTTTTTATAAAAAAAAATTAAAAACCGGCAAAGGATCAGTGACCAGCCAACGAGGCTAAATCTGGCTGCCGGAGAACTAGATCTGGCAAGGGAAGCCTTGCCTATGTTGCGCCCCAAGCGATACGGCCTAAGGTCGTAGGACCCCAAGCGGCGGTCGCGTGGGTCATGCTAACCAGGCGATGGCTACTTAGGTTTGAGCAATCTAGGCGAGCATTGCCTGGGTCGCGCAATCCCTTGCCTAGGGTCAAGTAACCATTGGCAACCGTCAGCCGATCTTGCGCAACTCTCGATGGAGCTTCACCTACGTAAAGAAGATGAACGGTGCTTACGAGGGCAAAATCAGAAAACGAAAAAATTGATGATGGCAGTTTTGAAAGAAAAAAAATTTACTAACCCTAAAGTGAGCTTTTCGAAAATGCTGGAAGCCCAATTTTGGTGAGCACTTGCCTTGGGCTTTCAACTTTCATAAGGCAAGCATTTGGCCTAAGGGTAGGGCAAAAAATTTGTCAAGCACTCGTAATTTTTCGTCAAGGGGCTTCACGCCCTTTGGAAAAGTGATTCCCAAATGGTCGGAGCCTATTTCCTTCATATTATTAAGTTTTTGTTCAAGTAATTTTTTTATGTTTGAGCTATTTCAATAAGTTTTCATTGTGGTAAGTAACTTCTATTTATCAATTTCCCCATCTTCGATCTTTTTTTTTTCTTTTAATATAAAGCCGAGTTTCAAAGTTTCAGTTAAGAGAGAGAGATATTAAATTGAAGGAATAATGACACAAATAGTTTTTGAACTTTGGCACAATATGTAATATGGTTTCTGAATTTTTAATTTATTTTATGTAGTCCTTCAACTTTTCCCTAATATTCAATATGGTCCCTGAACTTTTAATTTATTTAATGTGGTCCCTGACTTTTGATATATGTTCAAAATAGTCCCCGAATTTAAATTAATAAAAAGACTATATTTAATATTTTCATGTAATTTATAAATTAAATTAAATATATATCAAAAATTCAAAAATAATAATAAATAAATTAAAATTTTAGAGATGATATTATACATTGAACATAAATAAAATTCAGAACCTGTTTCTGTTGTTTTCCGAAGCAGAATCTCTGAATCAGTCACGGTCAAAGTGGAGTGGAACTCAGTTATATTCTCCACTACAGTGAAGTGGGACAGGTGGTCATCACCTTCCCCAACAACCTATCAGAAATGATTCCATCCATCAACCTCCCAAAAATTTACTTCATCTCCTCCTGACATCTCCCTTCCTTCACCATCTTCTCCTTCAGGAAGCATCGATAATAACAATCTTCCAGTCCGGCCATTGCAAGCCTCCTCCTTGCTCTGCTTCTGGCTGTGCCAGCCCAGGGAAGATGGCGGCGGCGACTTTGGGCTCTTCCTTTCTGGGTCTGCTTCCCTCCGAGCTCGAGATCGAGAAGGCCATTCGTGCTCTCCTCGAGTCTGTGATTTTCTCTCTCTCTCTCTCTCTCTCTCTCTCCTCCTGATATGATTTTTCTTTTTTACTTGCGACTTAGGAAGAATTAAGATTGCATTGGGATTGAAGTAAGACTGCTTCTCTGTTGCTGAAGAACTTTGGCTTGTGCGTGATGAACCACATTGATTTGTTCTGCTAAAGGTTGCATCCAAGATTGTTTTTTCAGTGATGTCCCATGCTTTGACAGAGTTATAGGATGGATGATAAAGGAAAGTCGTGCTAAAAGAGAAATACACTCGCTGAAGGTGTATCGAATTCTTTGCAATTTAGCCTCCTACGAGTTTGATGAGTCAACAACTAATCCATAACGGCTACCTCTTTTGATAAGTTGGTCACACTGCGTCGAATTAGGCAAATGGGCGTCGATTCTTGTAGCTGATGCATCATAGAGGAACAAAGGGGCAAATTCGATGAAATTTGACTACACCCTTTTAGCATGGAGCCCTGCCTGATGGTGTTGCCCAGCGAAAGCATGATCCGGTCATGTTTGGAATGAGGCCGAGGGACGAAATAACTAATTCCCAAATCATATGAAAGAAAGCATTTGATGAACTGATATGTTGAACCGTCCACTTTCCATTTCTTTCTCTTCTCCCTTCTGCTAAATATGGTAAAGTATACTATCAGGCTTCGAGCTTCTTTTTTGTGAATTGCCGGTCTGTGTTTTGGTTCCTACAACATCAACAACAAGTCAAGCCTTATCCCACTAATAGTCTCGTTTGCAAATAACAATTAAAGAAGCACGTTCTCATATCCAAAAGCTGGTGTTCCATTTGCTATATTTTGCTATGATATATCTCCCACAAATGTTCATACATGATTTCTTTCTGATTAGTTTTCGGTTGAACCAGCCTGTGGCAGTGCGCTTCTTCATCTGGCTCGGATCAAAACTGGATGCAGCTTTTTGGATGTAGGGATCCGAGTGCGAGCATACTGTTGTCTAGTGGATGGGGGAGAGTTCGGCATGCCCTTCATCTGCTGCAAACGGAGCCAGCTATTAAGGTGCCATATTCTCGAATTGATGTGTTGTGCGTTCCTCTAGTCAAATTGGTTTCTTTTCCGGGCTGGATCATGGTTTAGTTCTGGATAAATAATGAGACTAAAACCTGAGCTAACCAAGAAGAAGCAAATTAGATTTACCAATTTGATTACATTTTCATGGAAATTAGCACATTCACACTATAGTATGTATTAGAATTGTGAAAGACATCCTGATTCGTACTATGGCTCAAGCTGAAGCTTGATCTTTTCTTCTTTACCATCCTTTGTCGTAACAAATCCTTAACTGAGTTTTAACGGGAGGTTTATCTGTTTGTAGAGATTGGTTATATCGGTAGTCTTGGATAAAGCTTTCTGGAGCGCCATTATGAATAATCAGTCGGTCCAGCAGTTCCAGGAGTTGCTTCTCTCAGGTTCGTATGTGCTTAACCAAAACAAGATTATTGCTTCACTGGACTCAACTTAGCATATTGCTTGTATCTTTTGACACCTTGTCCTCACCGAAAATGTTGTTTACCATAGCAAAACGGTGGTATTCAGAGCAGAAGAAAAAGTTACTTCATTGCATTCTCGAGATGCTTAGTCGTGTGGGAGATAAACGAGTCTTGCAAGTTCCTCTTTATTGGTAAGTGGCACGACACAGTGGCCAGTTAAGACTGCTGTCCAAATGGGTGCAAAAGGTGAGTAATTAAGGATGCATATCAGTTTGATCTTAAGATAAATATGATCGAGGGAGGGCATAAGGGTCTTACGACCTTTTGATCAGATTAAAGTGGAATAGGATCAGATAACGAGTTAAAGTTCATCTTCTGCTCGTGTTTGTCCAAAGAAGTATCGTAGTTGTTATATCAAGCGCGACCAAGATTGAGAAGTTAAAAGTAGCGAATCGAAACTGCTTTTATAGGAGTCAAATCTGCATGAATGTTTTGGAGCATATCTTGATTTTCTTAATCACGAACAGTAGCGTATTTTGATTGTCTGCAACCTTTTCTTGGTGGGAAATAAAAAAATTCTCAAAACTGTTACCGTATGTTTTGCAGATAAAACAGAAAGCCCTCAGATTTGTGAGGAAGTAAACTGGGGTACGAACGATCTGTGGTGGCTCTTGGACATCTTGAAGGACAAAATCATGGACCTCGTTGAAAAATTCAAGCTGCTTTTGATCGAGACATTGCAACCTTCCCAGCCACACAAGAAAGAAGCTACGGCCGAGTTAGAGGAAAAAGTTGGATCATCCTTGCTACTTTCGGTGCTAATCATCTTGATCGTAGTGTTGGCACGAGTACGCATTGCTTAATGATCAATCTGCGTATCGATTCTACGCAGATTCGTGACATGGTGCGCTTCGAGATGTGATAAAGGTGTATCGAGTTTGCTGTTGAACCTGAGTTCCCCTTAGTACTTGCATATGAATTCGTGTGAACAGCTTGCGAGAGGTAAAAATGTTGCTGCTGCGCTTAATTTCAGTTTTCCAGAGAATTTCGCAATGGAACCTTTCTCATTAGAAACCTCGCCACAGATGAAGCGCGAGTCAAGAAGTTACCGACAGCAAGAGATATTTACAGAAAATTGAGCAGCAACATTTGCGGGGCTCTAGCAATAATAGTCCACTGTTTTTTTTCAAAAGGTTTATAACTGAATTGACATTCTTACAACGAATTTAACTTTGTTGGATAGTGGGGGGCCAAGTTTGGCTCCCTCAAGAGAAAAAAAAGAGTTGGGGGAGGATATGATCGCAGATGCGCCTGGGCACCATTGTAATGGCGAGGCCGTGATTAAGATGGATGGAGGGAGGTGGCTGAGCGGGGAAAGAAGATGTAGAGGCGATCGGCGCTTGGGTCACGCGACCCCTTGCCTAGGGTCGAGCAACCATCGGCGACCGTCAGCCGATCTCGCGCAACTCTCGACAAAGCTTCACCTAGGTAGAGAAGATGGACAGTGCTTATAAGGGCAAAATCCGAAAACAAAAAAAAATTGTCTAGTGTAGTTTTGAAAGAACAAAAATTACTACCCAAAATGAGTTTTCCGAAAATTCTGAAAGCCCAAGACATGTGGGGACCTACCTCAGGGCTTTTGGCTTTCACAAGTTGGCCCAAGGGTTGGGCAAAAGAATCGCCAAACATCCCTAATTTACCACAAGGGGGCTTTAAGTCCCTTGGGAAAGTGGGTTCCCAAACGGAGCCTAGCTCTTTCGCGTTATGAACTTTTTATTCAAGTAAACTCTTGATATATCAGCTATTTCAATAAGTTTTCATTGCGGTAAGTTACTTCTATTTATCAATTTCCCCATCTTCCATATGTTTTTCTTTTTTAATCTAAGGGTGCATTTGTTTCACAGAAAATGTAACGTTTTAGGAAAATGTTTTTCGGAAAATCATTTTCCAAGAAAAAAGTTAGTTTTCCTTTGTTTTGTGATATATGATCGAAAACATTTTCTGGTGTTTGGATCTCATTTGGAAAATGATTTCAATCCCATGATTTTATCTCGGGCAAAAAAAATTTCGAATTTTTAATTATTTTATTTTTAAAAATAAAATAAAGAAAATAATAAAATATTTAAAAAGTAAAAGGAAGCAATTCCGAAAAGTGTTTTCATCTTTTTAGATTAGAGAATTCACTTTCCTAATTTTATACATGAATATTTTTCTTGATTGGAAATTTTTTTTCGATTAACTGATCATTTTTGGTAAAAATTTGAAAGATGGATTTTCAAGAAAATACTTTCCTTGAAACAAACGCATCCTAGAGGTGAGTTTCAAAGTTACAGTTAAGAAAGAGAGATATTAAGCAGAGAATCTCTGAATCAGTCACGGTTAAAGTGGAGTGGAACTCTGGAAGTGAAGGGCGCGTTTGGTAACGTTTCTATTTCTCTATTTTTCTGTTCTTTTGTTCCCCAGAATTGAAAACGAACAGAAATCTGTTTGTGTACGTCAATTAATTTTCTATTCCCCGGTATAGAAAAGTGGCCAAGGAATAGATTTGAAATAGAAATAAAAAGTAAAAAAAAAATCTACTTTTCTGTTCTCAGGAACAAAAAGAGAAATAATGTCAATTTAGAAAAACAATTTCATACACCATTAAATCCCAAAACCCGAAACCCCCAACCCCTAAATCCCAAAACCCAACCATAAAACCCCAAACCCAAAAATCGAAACCCTAAATCCTAAAGCTCTAAACCTTAAAACCCAAACTCTAAAACTCGAAACCCTAAACCTAATACTTGAAACCCCAAAATCCAAACCCTAAAACCCAAAAACCTAAACCCGAAACCCGAAACCCAAAACCTCAAAACCCCAAAGCCCTAAAACTCTACCCCAAAACCAAAAATCAAAACTCTAATGCCCGAAACCCCAAAATCCAAACCCAAACCCCAAACCTCAAACCTTAAACACAACCCTAAAAACCTAAACCATAAATTTTAAACCCTAAACCCCAATTTCCTCCATCATCACTAGGCATTTGCTTTATCTATATGGAGTAATTTTCTTTATGATTATATTAAGATTAACCAATTCTATATCATAATATATTTTGATTCTATTTCTAGTCTAGTTTTATCCAAATATGAATTGTTAAATTTTCACTGACATTTTTATAATTAAATGAAAAAAATTGGGAATAGAAATTTTTAGGATTGTACCAAATGTATTTCTGTTCTTTTCCTATTTCGGATATAAAAATTTTGTGCAGTTACCAGATGTAATTCTTTTATTTAGAAATTCATCTATGAAATAGAAATAAAAAAAATTACTTCTAAACAGAAATTATTTTTGGGGACAAAAAGGTATACCGTAGGCACCCGAAGTGACTGATATTCTCTTCTCCACTACAGTGAAGCGGACAGGTCATCATCACCTTCCCCAGCAAGGTATCCAAACATCATTCCATCCATCAACCCACCAAAAACTTCCTTCATTTCGACACACCCTTGTCATCAATCTCTCTCTATCCATCTCTATCTCCCGATTTTCTCCAAAAAATGGGAGGAGGGGCGGTGCATCCTCCCCCATTGAAGGCCCCTTCTCCTCCTGACATCTTCCTTCCCTCACCATCATCTTCTCCTTCGGGAAGCATCCACGAAAACAACCTTCCAGTTTCAGCCAGTCATGGCAAGCCTCCTCCTTGCTCTGCTTCTGGCTGTGCCAGCCCGGGGAAGATGGCGGCGGCGACTTTGGGCTCTGCCCTTCTGGGTCTGCTTCCCTCCGAGCTCGAGATCGAGAAGGCCATTCGTGCTCTCCTCGAGTCTGTGAATTTCTCTGTCTCCTACGTCTCTCTCTTCCTTTCCTTATATGATGTTTCTTTTTTGGCTCGGAAATCGTAAAGATGTTAGGAAGAATTAAGATTGCATCGGGATTGAAGTTAGACTGCTTCTCTGTTGCTGAAGAACTTTGGCCTGTGCGTGATGAAACACGTTGATTTGTTCTGCTAAAGGTTATGTCCAAGACTGTTTTGTCAGTGATGTCCGGGGCTTTGACAGAGTTACAGCATGGATGAAAAAGGAAAGTCGCACTAAAAGAGAAATACACTCGCTAAAGGTGTATCGAATTCTTTGCAATTTAGCCTCCTACAAGTTTTATGAGTCAACAACTAATCCATAACGGCTACCTCTTTTGATAAGTTGGTCACACTGCGTCGAATTGGGCAAATGGGCGTCGCTCATCGTTTTTCTGTTTAATACAACATTAGATATGCGTCATGATTCTTGTAGCCAATCCATCATAGAGGAACAATGGGGCAAATTCGATGAAATTTGACTACACCCTTTTAGCATGGAGCTCTACCTGAAGGTCTTGCCAAGCAAAAACATCATCCGGACATGTTTGGCTGTGGGACAGACTAACTAATTCCCAAAACATATGAAAGAAAGCATTTGATGAACTGAAATGTCGAACCGTCCACTTTCCATTTCTTTCTCTTCTCCCTTCAGCTAAATATGGTAAAATATACTATCAGGCTTCGACCTTCTTTTTTGTGAATTGCCAGTCTGTGTTTTGGTCAGTGATGTTTTGTTTCCTATAACAACAACAACATATCAAGCCTTATCCCACTAATAGTCTCGTTTGTCAAATAAAAATTAAAGAAGCACGTTCCCATATCCAAAAGCTGATGTTCAATTTGCTATATTTTGCTATGATATATCTCCTATACATGTTCATACAGGATTTCTCGCTGACTAGTTTTCGTTTGAACCAGCCTCTGGCAGAGCGCTTCTTCATCTGGCTCGGAGCAATATTGGATGCGGCTTTTGGGATGTAGGGATTCGAGCATATTGACGTCTAGTGGATGGGCGAGAGTTCGGCATGCCCTTCATCTGCTGCAAACAGAGCCAGCTATTAAGGTGCCATATTCTTGAGTGGATGGATTGTGCGATCCTCTAGTAAATTGGTTTCTTTCGCAGGCCGGATCATGGTTTAGTTTTGGATAAATAATGAGACTAAAATCTGAGCTAACCAAGAACAAGCAAATTAGATTTACCAATTTGATTACATTTTTGTGGAAATTAGCAATTCACACTATAGAATGTATTAGAATTGTTAAATACACCGTGATTCGAACTATAGCTCAAGCTGAAGCTTGATCCTTTCTTCTTTATCATCCTTTGTCGTTATGCTAGAATAAATCCTTAACCGAGTTTTAAGGGAGGTTTTTCTGTTTGTAGAAATTGGTTATATCGGTAGTCTTGGATAAAGCTTTCTGGAGCGCCATTATGAATAATCAGTCGGTCCAGCAGTTCCAGGAGAAGCTCCTCTCAGGTTCGTTTGGACTTAACCAAAACAAGATTATTGCTTCACTGGACTCAACTTAGCATATTGCTTGTATCTCTTGACACCTTGTCCTCATCGAAAATGTTGTTTACCATAGCAACACGGTGGTATTCAGAACAGAAGAAAAAGTTAATTCATTGCATTCTCGAGATGCTTAGTAGTGTGGGAGATAAACGAGTCTTGTAAGTTCCTCTTGTTTGGTAAGTGGCACGACACAGTGGCCAGTTAAGACTGCTGTCCAAATGGGTGCAAAAGGTGGGTAATTAGGGATACATATCAGTTTGATCTTTAGATAAATATGATCTAGGGAGGGCATAAGGGTCTTACGACCATTTGATCAGATTAAAGTGGAATAAGATCGGATAACGAGTTTAAGTTCATCTTCTGATTGTCTGTCCAAAGTAGGGGTGTCGGAATCGAACAAACTGAACCGAATCGAAAAACTACACCAACACTAGCATATTTTGTTGCAGCCTTTTCTTGGCACGTAAAAAAGTTCTCAAACTGTAACTGTATGTTTTGCAGATGAAACAGAAAGTTCTCAGATTTGTGAGGAAGTAAACTGGGGTACGAACGATCTGCAGTGGCTCTTGGACATCTTGAAGGACAAAATCATGGAACTCATCGAAAAATTCAAGCTTCTTTTGATCAAGACATTGCAACTTTCCCAGCCGCCCACGCCAGAAGCTACAGCCGAGTTGGAGGAAAACGTTAGATCGTCCTTGCTACTCTCGGTCCTAATCATCTTGATCGTAGTGTTGGCAAGAGTACGCATTGCTTAATGATCGATCTGTGTATAAATTCTACACAGATCCATGACATGGTGCGCTTCGAGATGTGATAAAGGCGTACCAAGTTTGCTGTTGAACCTGAGTTCCCCTCAGTACTTGTATATGAATTCGTGTGAACAGCTTGCGAGAGGTAAATGTGTTGCTGCTGCGCTTAATTTGAGTGATCCTTTCTCATTAGACACCTCGCCACAGATGAAGCGCGGAGTCAAGAAGCTACCAACAGCCTAGAGATATTTACAGAAACTTGAGCAGCGACATTTGCGGCGCACTAGCAATAGTAGTCCACTGGTTTTTGTTGAAGAGGCATGCTGTCTACCCGCTTTCGAACAATCTCATAGTAGCCTATCTTAGCAAACAGCAATTCGTGATTACGTGATCTTGTACATTCCCATCGATCTGTTGGGAACCCTACGCAGTGTTTTAAGTCAATGCTGATGGTCAAGTCAGCGAGCATTTTCGCTCCTGCTAAACACGTTAGACCATGTTCCGCATGCGCAGACAGAAATAATGACCCAGTGATGCCGATTAACTGCGTTAAGTACAAGGCAAAACAAGGGAGCTCGAAACAAGATAATTTCTTAAAGTTCACCTCGGCGATCACAATAGAACATGGACTGAACATCGCCAATGGAAGAATCCAATAGCCAGCGAGGGAGAGATAAACTCCGTTTTACTATCAGCATCGAAGCATTTTGAATTCCCAATGCTGCTGCTGCTGGTGATTGCCGGGTATTCGTTTGATAGCAATGTGTACCACGCTAGACGAATGCAAATATAATCATTTGCCATTTCACCCTGTTAGAAACAACTCCAGCATCTACCCCTGAATGAGTACCGAACGCTTCCAAAAGATTGATGGGCAAACGCTAGACTGCCTCTTTAAAAGCACCTCAAGCCAATGCATTCTTGAGAAGGCAAGCCAATCCAAAACTCACTCTGCACTGCCATTCGTCATGCGAAACACGGCTCAAAAGTGCCAAGAACCAGACTATTGACAGTCAACAACATGAAGGTATTCGACAATATTATCCAATTTGAACATTCCCATACTGCTCGGGGCCACAAAATGGTAGCTAAGATATGGACACAACAGGATGACTTGATACTCAAGTGAGAATCGGAGTATTCTGGAGTGGAGGGGAAAATAACTCCAAGCGATCCATGTTGTCACCAAGTAAGAGTTCATCGGAATCAGTTATTAAGGCTGCAACAAGGTGACGACAACCTCAGCAGATGTTAGACCACTATGACAAAAATCGAAAAGTTACATCACGCGTCTGAAGATCAGAGGTTCAAGACATCCACAATCTTGGGCCCATTAATTCACGTTCTGCAGCAGAACCTTGGGTTGCGAGCTTCTGAATGCGTGATGAAAATTCCTCAGCCTGCAAATAGTAAAGAGAGATCATTCTTCTTACTCGGGAGAACAACAAAGACGATTTTTACTTTTAGCCTCTACGTCTGCACGTGCATAAACTTGGTGCAGATGGAACAAGCACCAGTTTGCTGAGCATTACCAAGCTTTTGAACATGACGGTACATTACTTCCCACTTAAACTAGTCTGGTTTTGTTTCAGCGAAGAAAATAATTAATACATTCCAACATCCAGCACTGTATAGTTAGCCATGAAACAACTGGAGAATGGAGTCAATGTTTTGAAGCAATTGTAGATGAAACTAAAAGCTTTTGATGCAGGGCCCAAACCTTCTCATCAACCCACATTAAAGAGCTAAGCTGATTATTTAAAATCCTGACAACAACATCAAGTGGTGTCATGCCGTCGACGGTGTCGAGCTCTCCACCCTGGGGAGAAGCAGAGCAGATACATCATCTTTCTACCACGAAATAGCATTTCCAAAACTCAAATAACTCCTGTCAAAGCAATTGTTAAAGTAAAGTCTCTACCTGGCTCGAATTCAGAGTCTGGATGACTGATTTAATTTGTTCCGTCATTTGTTCCAGCTCCCTCTCTATCAACTCAGCTTGTTCATACCTGCGATGCAAACAAGATCACTTATCTCACACAACAGGATAAAATAACTGTAAGATGCTCAAAAACCAAGAGAGTTTTAAAATTGCCAGCAATGAACTAATGTTTCCAGGCCTTTCTCTCACAAAGAAAGCCAAAAAAGCCTGTAAGATGCTCAAAGGCCAAAAGAGTGATGAGGGTGCTACCAATTGATTAATGGCTTCAGGCCCTTATCGTCAACACCAGTATAAACTCAAGGTCAGACCATTAATGAGAAATCAAATGAGAAGAAGTATTAATTCAAGGTCAGGAGGTTTTCAGCCAGGAGTTTGGATAAAGTTTCAAAACCATTAGGTCCAATTCTCCAAATCGTTAAAATACACAAAAATTGAGATCCAAGGATGCAATTCTGTGTGTGTGAGCTTTCGCAGTTACTGCAAATAATGGTTCGCACATGCATTGAGCCCACAATTTTGCAATGCACAAATATTTATATCATTGTTGAATATGATTGAAAAGATAAACTAGTCATTAAGAATGGGAATAACAAAGGTGCCAATTCAAGGTGTGGAGTTGGGACAGAATTTGGCAAGGGTTGTCCTCTGACTAAATCATAGCAGATGAACAATACTCCAGCCTCTTCAAATTACAATATCAGCTCTCTTGCAAGTGTGCATCAGATGATGTAGACGGACTACTTCTTGCACAAATAAAAGTCTTAAAGAAGGATAACTTTCTCCATTTAGAAAGATCAAGCACTCAACAAATACTACAAGAAGACAGATGTAATCAATAAGGGGCTTACTTAATGAAACGGTATATCCATCAGACAAAGGATACAAGACAGAATTCAGTTCTTACATTGCATCTCTAGTGGACGCAGCTTCATCATCAAGCAATAATCCATGCTCATCCTTGTAAATACGTTCAGCTTCTTCTTCTATGCTCTGCAAAGCCTTGTCAACCTAATGCACATAGTAAAATTAGAATCATCCTTCCTCAAAACCACATGAGTAAGTCACTGACTCACAGAGAAGCTAATATGGATAATCACTGACTCACAGAGAAGCGAATATGGATAATCTTGGACTATACACCAATCCAAAAAAAAAAAAAAACCTTCCCCAAACATGGCCTTAATGCACATTGTTTTGTTAATAAATGCATCTATTAAATTTATGACAACTTCAGTAACATCATAAGTAAGTAAGTGCCTGAAGTTAAATTCACACCATCATTAAATTTTTTGCTAAGATGACAGAAGGTTGACTAATTATGCAGATGATGAGACACCAACCAATCAACATAGAACACGATGGAAAAGAAGATACTTTTGGCTGGCTTCCTCTAGTTGGAAAATATTTGCATATGTGTCATTCTAAGATCTTAAATAGCTTTGCCATCCCTAAAATCAAGAAATAACTATATCCCACTACGTCTATACTTTCTTGTCCATAGAGAAAGTTTCCCAGAATAACTTCCATCAAACAAACCCAAATCACAAAGGTCATTTCATGACTACATGTAAGAAATCCCATTTATCTCACCAACAAATGCATCTTCGCGATCAAGGACAAGTGAAATCTAAATACTTTCTCCAAAACCTGCTCAAGATTTTGTCAGATACTAAGTTCTCAAAAGAAATAGCAACCCTGGGAAAGACATTTATTTACCTCTTGCTGATGAGTTTCAATTAATTCCAGCTGTCTCTCCAGGCTAGCTTGGGTTTCAACCACTTTTGCCACTTCAATCTGGATCATTTTCATATATTAGGCTACGAAGAAAAAAATTCCAGCAGATAATAAAACTGATTTCATTGAGTTGAAAATAATTTGAGTAAAGATAAAGAGGTAGTTCGGTGTATCTTACTCAGAAAAAAATCATTTTAGCATTCAATAACTAGACTTCTGACAAAAAAAAGAATACATCTATAAAGGTACAGAGTCTGTGATAAAGTTACAATTGTTCAGAGATTCTGAAATCTTCTGAAATGATTCAATTTTCAGAAAATTCAAAGGAAGTACAGCACTTGTTCCAGAAAATGTTAACTGATGGCCAAATAAAATATCTTCTTCTTTGGACAGATAATGCCTCAATAAACATCATATACACTAGTTTAAAATATTTCTCATGTTGAGCAATTTTAACCTCAAGCCTAAGAAGAACATCACGATTCTGCAATATCCTCTTGTCCCACTCAGCTATGGCATTTGCCTGCTTCCGGAATTTCCCTGTTCGCTCTTGTAGCTCAGCATTCCACTCCTTGATAATCTGCAAGAAGAAAAAGAAAAAGCTGCGTCTGAGAGAAGCAGGCAGGGAGGGTTGGAAATAAGATACAAAATTTAATGCGGCTGGTCATGAAGAGTTTACAAGATACAAGTGTCAAATTTGGATCCACACGGAAAAGTTCTATTAAGTGAATGGGTTACCCAATAATAAGCATGGGAACTTTCCTTTCATTTCAATACAACAAAAGATAAGACTCATCTCACAAATGGCTCAGTTTCCCTCTTTCCTTTAAATAAACAGACAAAATTTGTTGACAACGCAAGGAACCAAACTAAACCTTAGGCATATTCCATGGATCAATGTTTATAAAGCATGGCAAATTGACAATAATTTGATCAGAAATGGCCTGGTAAAGTCAGTGATATGAACTCCACTGGATTAGTTTGATCTTTCTCCTAGTGCATGGTTTCACATATAAGTTGTACCCCTCCGGTGCTCTTAAATATAGCTTTACTTTTTCATAGAATAATAATTAGAAAAATGGATTTACTCTTCCATAAAGCAGTGAACCATGTTCTGATGTTTGTTCATAGAGTAACCAAGGTAATCACAATGGGACTGAAAAAGGAAACTTCAAACTTCCTGGAGAAGATGGAGCATGGTACAAGCGGACAATTATTTGTTTTTAGAATTCATCTCGATTAAGAAGATCCTTAACAGTTAATACATAAATACAAGATCTGTATGGGAAATTGATAATAATTTTGACCAGAAATGGCCCGGCAAAGTCAGTGATATGAACTCCAGTGGATTTTTTTTATCATTCTCCTTGTGCATAGTTTCATGTATAAGCTGTACACCTCCAGTGCTCCTTAGTATAACTTTACTTTTTGATACGAAAAGATATATACTTAATAAAAAAATGGATTTAATCTTCCTTAAAGCAGATAACCAAGTTCTAATGTTTCTTCATAGAGCAATGAAGGTAATTGCAGAGGAACTGAGAAAGGAAACTTCAGACTCCCTGTGGAAGACAGAGCATGATACAAGTGGATAATTATTAGTTTCCAGAATTCATCTTAAGAAGATCCCTAACAGTTTATGATGTAAATACAAGATCTATCTTGCAAAGAGCAATGCTTTAAGTCCACATTTCAAAACCAAAGAAGAGCCTAGACAAATATATATCCTTCTTCATAAGTAAGGATGCCCAATCTCATAGAGTCCTTGAGCAAATAATCCTAGAAAAGTCCCCAATGACAAGGAAAAAATGATGAACCATATCCTGTCCTATGAGGAAATCCAAATTCACTAAAATCGGACAACAGAAGTAAAATGGTCCATTAACTTTGATCATGGATTGGAAAAGAGCATATTCATTTCACTGTATATTATGAACAGTTGCAAGTAAAAAGTGTAGTAAAGACCTCCTCAACAGTCTTCCCCACGATCTCTGATGGTAGTTTGGGTACAGCAACTGCAGCGCTGATGCTTGATGTTGCTCTAAAGAAAGTACATAAGATAGAAAGGAAATAAGCTGAAATATTCTGATTCCAACAACCCATACTCTCGGATTGACATAATAAGTTCAAACTTGAACAAAAGAAAACGAACTACAGTAATCTCAAAATGATGCAGATGATCTCAAACGAAATATAGTAATCTTATAAAAAAAAAAAAGAAACAAAAGATGGATCGAAAATAAAGGGAAGTGTTACTGAAATCCCTATAGTAGTTTTCATTATACCCGTAAAAAAGTAAATGATGGATAGCGGATAAAGGAAAGTATCTTCGAAATCCCTTCTGTATTAGAAATAACAAAAGCAGGGTCTTCAAAAGTATTCTAGATGAAACAAATCGTTAGACAAAGCAAACTCTTTTTGGCTAGGAGATAAGGCCAACTTACATAAAGAAGAACTCTTCAGAAAAAAAAAAAGGAGTTGATCCTTGAATGAATAGTGCAAAAACAGAGTACTGATTTGCCCCAAGTATGAGAAACAATACCAGGATATCCATAGATATGGAACAAGAAAGTGTCATGCCATGTTATGAAGTAAAATGTACATTACTTAGCTATCAAGACAGTGAATACAGACCCGCTACTAGAAGCTACAATAAGAGATGATGTCGGAGCTGCAGTTGTACTGGTGCTAGAAGCTGTTGTTGCTGCGGAAGTTGTAGCAGGGACACCTTAAAAAGAGGTTTTCAAAAATCACTTAACACGGCATCTTATTCCTTAAGCATAAAACCAGAAATGCACAATAATGTATCAGCTGGCCATGTAAGCTTCTACATGAATTAAACATAACAATACCATGTCACACCATATTTATTTGCTAAAACACGATAAGAAGATGCTAACATCTATTTGACAAGTCAAGGATGCCTATATTATGAAGACAATCCAAGTTCAAGGAAACAGGACAAGCAGCATAGGCAAGTCGATGCCATAAAATAGGGAAGAGCTGCAATGAGATACTGCAAAAGGTACAAACTCCCTAAGTAAGAGTTTTCTAAGTGCGTTAATTCATTAACGTAACATCTGCACCAGAACTATATTTCAAAGTCGACATGAGGTTATAAGTGAGCACCATTTATACTTCCAGCAAATACCATGAGAGCATTTCTTTTTTTGCCAAGCTTATGCAGAAACATTATAAAGGAATTGGCAATTGATCAGTTGTGTGAGATTTTGTGGGACCACCGCCGACTGTTCTAAAAGCTTAAGCTGTTAGGTGAAGGCGCGGTTTTATATTTAATAATTCTATCAAGTTGTAATTTCAAGTTCGAAGAAATGAAACAGTCAGACTTTATTTGTGATTGCAGCAGCAAGTCATGACATGACATGAATATTTCTCCTTATAATATTATTTTAAAAGGCGCTGCTTTGTTCTAAAAGGTAACTGTACAGTTAAGACTCCTGTAAGAAGTATTAGAGAATGACAAAATAAATGTATGTCCAAGCAAAAGATCATATGTTTATACAAAGCGAAGGAAAAAAAAACCATAGTCCACCCTAGTGTTAAGCAATATTGCTATACACATAGCAACCCCCAACTTCTAAAACCCACAGAACCAGAAAAAAAAATGAAAGTCTTTTTTCACTGCAAGCACCTTTAGAACAACTATGCAGAAGGATGCTCAGGTATGTGTCGAAGGTACACGTGACAGCTGGACAAAGAACAATGCTAATAAGAATGTCCACAAAGGAAGACAGATTTTGTGATTAAAAGGTCCATTTCCTTCTTAGATGGGTTTTTAGCCTATGGCTTCATATATGAGCCACCAAAAATATCTTTTGATTCTTCCTGCCGATTTTTCTATACAATCACAACACACTATCATACTTATGCATGGAATCATGCATTGACCGACCCTTTACAAGTTTTTTCGATTTCATCAGGAGAGAACCTTCAAAAGCTGACAGCTCCTCAAAACAATTAGGCAACAAACCATCAGGCTTATAGTCACAGTTTGTCAGCAAATTATGTTACTTTATTATGTTTTTGGCTAAGCTGCCTAGCAGGCAATCTTCGTCTTCTATTATTTGTCTTTTGACAGCGATTTTCAGACTAGACTCTGCTTAATCATCTGCAACTTAATTTCATTCTCAAGATCAGTGTAGCATTGAAATATGGGTTGTGAGACATAATAAAGATAAAAGCTTAAGAGCCTATACATTCAGTAATCCCATTGTACCATGTGATCACCACAATTTTAGAACAATAGGTAACCTAGCAAGCAGAAGATATGTGCCCAACATAGCAGGGTATGGCAAAACTTCTCACCTGTTCTTATTCTTATTAGAAAGCCACAAACCCTGATTTTGTCCGGATCCCTCTAAAGAGATACTCATTAACATGCAGAAAGCACAAATAGCGAAAGTATACACAGAAAATACAATATTCTGGTACAGAAATCCTAGCTACTGAAATGGTGAGAGGAAATGGATCCACAAGCTCTTAATCTGATATCTCATCAAGTGGAATAAGCTGATAAAAGAGACCTCTGAGCTTGGATAACCAAAACAGACAACAAAGCATCGCCCTAAAAACTAGAAGGAATATGCACAAGTAGAATAATAACGCCTCATGCTGCAGAGCAGACCTACAATTAGCACTTCTATGCATTTACGATGAAATTCCAACTTCTTGATCATGCTAGTTCAAACGCAAAGTGTCAGTAACAACTCACTAAAAGCAGGGACGGTGATGGTGGTAGAAGGTGCTTGAGATGAAGCTGGTGTTGAAGTTCTGGCAGACAACGAAAGGCTTGGAACCGAACTAGCAGTCACCGAAGAGGCAGGTGTTGCAGTCACTCCAAATCCCGTAAAGGAACTAGCAGGTGTCAAAGATCCTGCACTAACTGCCGGGGCCGTCAAAGTCGCAGCGGCCGACGAGGAACCCACAGCAAATGAAGGCAATGTCGTCGAAGAGGACACGAAAGCGGAGCCACCTGCCGATGGAGTCGACGCACTAGTGGTAGTGGTGACAGTAGAGAGCAATGGCACCGCGGATGGGGCGAACGAAAAGGACGTAGGCTTCGCGGAAGGTGCAGTCGAGAGCGGGGCCGACGACGCGAAACTGAAAGAGGACTGCGAAGATGAGGAAGACGGTGCAAATGAGAAGGTTGAGGTTGTCATGGATGTTGCACTGGGTGCTGGAGATGGCGAACTAGAGCTTGAGGTGGGTTTGGCAAAGGAAAGCCCCGGAGAAGCAGAAAAAGGAGATGTCGTTGCGGCTGAACTAGAAGAAAATACGTTTGAAAATGATGTAGTCGCTGAAGCTGATGAAGAAGCTCCGGACAACGTCGCTGTGGCGGCGGCGGCGGCGGCGGCAGTGGGGGCGGTGGCGGCCAAACTCGGACTCCCGGAGGTCGCAGTTATACCAAACAGGGACGGAGCCGTGGACAGACCTGCCCCAAACAATGGCGCACCAGAACTAGCGGCGGAAGCAGTTCCTCCAAGTAAGGACGCTCCAGAAGCGGCGGCGGAAGACGACGGCGTCACAAACAGAGGCGGAGCGGCGGCTGTAGTCGAAGTCGATGACGACGTCGGCGCCGCACCGAACAGTGGCGTGCTTGCACTTGAAGACGTCCCGAACAGAGGCGTACCAGAAGCGACCGCTCCAAACAAGGACGGACCAGAACTCGCCGCGGATTGAGGCGTCCCGAACAGAGGCGAACCAGAAGTGGCCGCTCCAAACAAGGACGGACCAGAACTCGCCGCAGATTGAGGCGTCCCGAACAGAGGCGAACCAGAAGTGGCCGCTCCAAACAAGGACGAACCCGAGCTCGCACCGGAAGAAGGCGCGGGCGTACCGAACAGAGAAGCAGCGGAGCTCCCCGACGAGCCAAAGAATGGCGAAGGGGAACTCGACGCGAACGGCGACGGACTCGCGGCAGGCTGAACCATTCCGAAGGGCGAAGATCCACCGGACGCGGCCGACGACGGCGTACCGAAGAGCGGAGGCGTCGAAGCCGCCGGCGCGGAGCCGACTCCGAAGGAGAATGGAGGAGCGGAGGGCGCCGACGACGAGGAAAAGGAGGGAGCGGGGGAGGAGCTAGGGTTGGCGGCGGCGGCGGCGGCGGCGGCGGCGGGGAAGGGGGAGGGAGAAGCGGCGGGGAAGGAGGGGGCGAAGGAGAATTGGAGAGGGGAGGAGGAGGAGCTAGGGTTTGCGGCGGAGGAGGGAGCGAGGGTGAAGGCGGAGGAGGATCCGAAAGCGGGAGGGGAAGATCCGAACGAGAAGGGAGAGGCGGTTGAGGCGGAGGAGGAGGGGGCAGCGGCGGAGGATCCGAACGAGAAACCCGCCATCGTCGGAGCGGTTGCCTTTTTTTCCGCCTTTTTTTTTCCTTTTTCCGCAAGCTCGAGAGGGTGTGTAAAAAGCGAGGGGTTTTGGGGAGAAGCGTTTTGCGCCTTGCGGAGGGGGGTTTCGGTCACCTGGAATTTTTTTGAATTTTTTTGTCATTTTTATATATTGTCAAAAATATGAAAATATAATAATTTTGCTTTTGTCTATAATCCGAAGAAACAGACCCCCGAGAAACCAACCACAAAATGGAATACGAACTTTTATGCAAAGGGAAAGTCGGGCTCCAATGTTCACCGGGGTCCGTTTGCTTCTCTTCGAAGTTTTCGAGCGATCGAACCGTCCAATTGTGTAAAATCGAAATATGTAATGAATGTATTATTCTTTAAATTGTATCTCGTTTCATCTTAATCGTCCCCTTTCGAACAAAAGGGTTGGTTTGTTTCGCGAGAAATGTACCATTTCTATAACATTTTTTCTAGAACGTGTTTGGCTAAAATCTAAAAAAAGACCTGGAAAGTATTTTCAGTCATTTGATATAAGGAAAGGAAAATCTAATGAGAAAAATTATCGAAAAAATCATATTTTTTAATTATTTTTTAATATGATATATTTTTTGTTTTCTTTTTTGCTTCTTCCTTGACTAGTTGCCAACCTCGGAGACAGTGCCGATTATCGGCCACAGGCAAGCTCCAGCCTCGCAGCCAGGGGCAAGCTCGAGACTCGCCGCCAAAGGCCGCGAGCTCATCAGCGACCAGCCAAGGAAGAAGCAAAAAGAAAAAGGAAAAAAAAGAGAAAAGAAAATTAAAAAAAATCGATTGTTTTAAAATATAATATAATTTAAATTCAAAAATTTTAAAAACTATATTTTTAATAAAAACAAACGTGTCATTAACCAAGGACACGAGCTCGAGAGCCACGAGAATCCACTTATGGCCTTTGTGGACCCGGGCTTGAGGGTGGGGATCAGAGCTCAAGTATTGGGGACCCAAGCACAACCTTTATGAACCTGAGTTCGAGTACTGGAGCATCAAGTTCGAGCACTAGGAGTTCGGGCCCAGCCTCGATGAATCCGGGAGTAGGCGTAAAGGACTTGGGCTCGGGCTCGAGCCTGGGACACAATGGTCCCGAGCCCGATCACCGGAGACTTGATCTTGAACACTTGGACCCAAAATCCAATGTTGTGGTTTCCATGCCCAAACGCTAAGTTTTGGGTCCACGCGCCGATACCTAGTCATATTTCGGAAATGTTTCTTTCAAAGAGGACATTATTTTCTTAAATTTAAGCTTTGGTAGGAAATATTTTCCGTTAACTCATTTTCCTAAGTAAACCAAAAGCTGGGAAATGAAAAAAATGTTTTTCGCGAAACAAACGGACCCGAAATCATCAATTCATTAAAACTCAAAAAAAAAAAATTAACTTGACAAGAAAAGTAACTAAAAAATGTTAAAATTTTCAATGATGGCTATTTTGCAATGATAGAGCTCATCAAAACCCTTTTCTTTTTTGTCGAACAAAATTCGACGAGGCAAGCACAAATTTTACTTGGGAGCAAAATAAGTGAGAAGTGCACAAAAAGTACTCATTCCTACTGTGTAATTTATATGTATTTATGGGGTATTTTTGTAATTATGTTTCTATCTATACCCTTTTTGTAATTAGTCACTCCTATAAATACATATCATTCAACCCTAAAGGGTTAAGCAACCATAAACACTTTATCGTTATTTTTTCTGTCTCTAAACATCAACATGGTATCAGAGCAGAAAAACGGATCGAATTCTTCAACATCTCTACCCCAAATTAACACTTCATTTGCTTCAATTACTATCTCAACAATGTCCAATGCATCTTTAAATTTTTCTTCTTTTCTACCATCTCTTTACCCATCGTCTTTTCTTTCTATTAATCCCAATTTCCCATCGTCTGTCAATAATATTGCGCCCACTTTCACCTCTTCTTCCCTCTTCACTGCTGCTCCGATATTTGCTTTTGCTCACATTACGGCTGTGCAATCATCCTAGTCGTCTCTTATTCTTCCCAACATCACAAGTCTCATCTCTATCAAACTCAATACAGACCAGTATCTTTTATGGAAATCTCAGTTTGAATCTATTTTAATCTACAACGATCTGATAGGCTATGTGGATGGTTCTTTTCCGTGTCCACCGAAGCTTATCAATGATCAGATTAACACTGTAGTGGTCAATACCTCCTATTCCACCTTAGTAAAGACAGATCAATGCGTTCATAGTTTGATTAATTCGACTCTCACAATTGAGATTTTTTGTGAAGCTTACGACCTTCGAATATCTCGGGAGATTTGGATTGCTCTAGGACAACGTTTTACTGATCGCTATGCGGCCAAGGAAATTCGACTAAAATTGGATTTTCAAAATGCCATGAAGAAACCCAATCAGTCGATGTCTGGTTATCTCTGGCAACTAAAGTCAATTGCAGACTCTCTCACGTCTCCGATAAGGACTTGGTGATTCAAGCCCTCAATGGCTCAGTATGATCTTTTTGTTACCATGGTCACAAACAGCCCTACAATTCTCTCCTTTGGTGATCTGCGGTCGCACCTCCACATCCAAGAAGAATGATTTCTTCAAAAATCAAGTGCATCATCTTCATATGATATTCATCATGCTTTGATCGGTCATGCCACTTCACTCAGTCCACCATTTCAAGGATCTTGAGGTTGACGTAATTTTATAGGTCGTAGTTATGGTCGGGTACAATGTGGACGATTCTCACGTGATAAATTGAGTTGGCAATCTTCCCATGATTGGTTCAATTCGCAATAATTATCGTCCCGATTCAGTTCGATATCATTACCGGCCCCCTATGCCTCCTCCACCTCCTCTTGTCGATCTCATGGTGGTTGGAAGCCCTATATTCCCCCATTCACACAAGGAGGTATTCTCGGATATAGGCCTCATCTTACTTGTCAGATATGTAATGGAGTCGGGCACACCACACTATAATGTTGCTAAGGGCCCGTTTGGTAACGTGCCAAACAGTGAAAATTTCTGTTCTTTTGTTCCCATAAATAGTTTGGAAAGTTCTCCTCCAAGCTTATTCTTCTCATGGTCTTTATCCGATTTCCAACTCAATGGTATCATCTGAAGTCTATTAGTCATCGTGCATCTTTTCTTTTAGTTGTAATTCATTTGGATGTATGGATGAGTCCAATTTTATCTAATTCTTATTTTAAATATTTTAAAAAAAATAAACAATTCAAAATATTATTAATAAAAAGAAATTTGTGTGTAGTTACCAAACGTATTTACGCTCTTTTCTATTCCGAGGAATAGAAATTTTGAATGACAACCAAACGTCTTCAAATGCACAGAAAATTGTTTCCGGGCACTGAATGCATTAAAAATCATTTCTGTTCAGAAATAGTTCCCGGCGATGCATGGTTGTCATGCGCACCCTAACAATTCAACCATGCTTTTATCTCTACTGATCTATTAGACTCGTTCTCAGCTCTCTCAATTGGTGAGACCTCTAATTCAACTTGGTATCGTGACAATGGAGTATCAGCACACATGACTAGTGATATTGATAACATCTTAAATCCTATACCTTTTTACGATTTGACAAAAGTCTCAATTGGTGATGGTCGTTTATTGCCTGTTAAGCAAGTCGATAAAAGCCTTTTTACATACTAGTTCTATTATGTTCCTAATCTTGCTTGCAATCTTCTCTCAGTTGCTCAACTTTGCTGTAAAAATTCTTGTACCATTGATTTTAATGGTTCATCATTTTCTTTGAAGGACAAACAAACTGGGAAAGTTCTCCTCCAAGCTTATTCTTCTCATGGTCTTTATCTGATTTCCAACTCAATGGTGTCATCTCATTCGCATCCTATCTTGGCTTCCTCTGCTTCACAACCTTCCTGGCATGCTCATCTTGGCCATCAAAATAAACAAGTTTTGAGTCATTTTTGCAATTCTAGTTCAAAGTTGGTATCATATGAGTCATGTCTTGTAGGCAAATCTCATCGATTGCCTTTGAAGTCTGTTAGTCATCGTGCATCTTTTCTTTTAGTTGTAATTCATTCGGATGTATGGATGAGTCCAATTTTATCTAATTCTGATTTCAAATATTTTGTATTATTCATTGATGATCATTCCTGGTTCACTTGGGTATTTCCCATGAAAAATAAATATGAAGTGCCGACACACTTTCATCGCTTTCGCTGTTTTATTGAAAATTTGTGCAATGACAAAATTAAATTTTTACAAACTGATGGAGGAGGTGAATATACCAGTAATGAGTTTCAAACATACTTACGTTCCAAACATACTTACGTGAAAATGGTATTATTCAACGTTTTTCTTGTCCACACACCCCATCTCAAAATGGTCTATCAGAACGCAAAATCAGACACTTAGTTGAAATGTCTCAAACTTTATTAATCCATGCTCATATGCCTCCTTCATATTGGGTCGATGCTCTTCTCACTACTGTTTACACTATTAATCGACTTTCCACTCCTGTTATATCTAATATTTTTCCTTTCCACTGTTTATTTGAGTTCAAGTTTGATTACTCGTTCTTTCGGGTTTTTGGGTGTGCTTGTTATCATTTTATTCCGTTTTGTGTCTCTCATAAGCTGGCACCTCATTCTGTGCCATGTGTATTTCTTGGGTACGCATCAAATCACAAAGACTATCGTTGCCTTAATCGGTCGAGTGGTCGTGTTTTAATCAGTCATCATATTCGATTTGATAAGGAGAATTTTCCCTTTTAAGCAAAACCTTCAAATGTTAGTCTTGTTCCTCATTGTTCTAGATCACCTCATTCACTTTTTATTTACTCCAATCAATTTATTATTCCTTTTACCTCATTTGGCCCTCAAGCTCCTCATCCGCCTCTTTCTTCTTCTCAAGCCCAACCACCTAATTTGCCTTTCTTCCCCTCTCAATCTACCTAATCTACTTCCAATTCTTTTTCACCTCCACCTCCCCTCCCTCCGAACTTAGTCACTGTGTCACAACCTCACTCATCTTCCGACCAAATTCCTCCCATAACAGACCCGCAAATCCCCTCCATATCTCTATCCAGCTCCACCACTTCCATTTCCTCTCTTC